GCTGCCCACCGTACATATCTGTGTGCTGTTTATTTATCAGGTGGTTTGATTCATGCAGTATATCTCATGGTCCATTAATACACAGTGTGCATACATCTGTTAGTGTTGGCTCTATTTTCTGGCTGTGATTCCACACAAAAGCTCTCAGAACAGGGTTTCTTTTCTGCTCATGCATCTGTTGCCTTTTTGTGTGTCAGCCAGACTCCTCTGTCTGGACTCACATTGATTTTTGCAGAGCACTTTTTTAATCTATAACTCTGCAGGTTGCATACAGACGCACAGAGGCAGCTGTGGTGTGGTGCTCGCAGACAGCAGGTAGAACACTGATGCAACAAACTCTGAAGAAAAGAGAGTCAGCGGGAGAAGACCAGGGCATCACAATAAAAATCGAACGGACCGTCTTTTACCCCTCTCTCATCTTGGATATTTTTCCTCTGTAAGAGAGAGAAAAAAACACATCTGTTCTCAGGGTATCCAAGAAAATGTGCAAATCTCATGCAGTATGATACACCACAGAGCTGAAAGTCTGCGTGCACTTGACCACCACACCTTCAGGAGCTTGTTAGGCATCTCATTGAAATTCAGGGGGTTTCATGGAGGGGAGTTTGACCTCTTTCCTTCTGTAGTAACATCTGTTTCCCCACGAAAAATGACACCAGCGAATAAAGGGAACAACTGCTCGTTTCATGGTGATCTGTTATCAACCAGGCGTACAAAATAATGAGGTGTCGGGTCAGTAAATCCACTCTCTGGCTGTAGTGTAAATCATATAGTGTGTATACAAACTCTTTCTGACATCTTTAATTCTTATATTTGCAAAAGGAGACATCTGCAGTGTTGAATCTTTATCGCACATGCAAAAAGAAATGACTCCAGATTCATGACTGCAGTGAAAATCCTAGATTTGGACACAGGCTTGTGAGGAAGTTCATGAATGCCAATCAATCCCAAATCTCCGCCCCTGATTTGATGATGAATACCATATAAGGAGGTGCTGATATGCATTTCCTGTGGACTATTTTCTCCTGTGAGGTGGTATGACACAGAACAATGTCAGTGCACTCTGTAGTAGTCCGGGTCACTGTGTGGGCTTCATTTTAGACCAGCTTCTCTTCTGCATGGTGGGTCAGTGGATAACCCCGGTTTACTATGAACTGGTTTGACCGTTGCATAAAACACATGTATGTATGGATCCACGAATGCATGTGCACAACTCTGCACATGGCTCGAGGGATATTATAGGTAATTTAGTGGAGAATGTTTACATTTATTACAGCCTAACTGGCAAATAAATACAAAAATGTAATCTAACAGAAACAGAAATCAGGGTTTTTGTACGTCTTCTTTGTTCGCTCCATGTCCCTGACACATAGAGGTGAACTCTTGAGAAACAGGCTGTCAAACTGAACATATGTGGATGCTCTGGGCAGACTGAGGAGCTACACTGTGTTTTTCTTTTTTTAGTTTAAAATCATTGTGACTCACGCTGTTGGATTTCACTCAGCAGACACATCAGACAGCGCTCTCATCCAACATCATCATCATGAACAACAAAAATAAATGCTCCTGAATCTGTAAAACCAACGACAGAGTCGATGTTACTCAGACACTTATAGTTTCTGCTTTTTGTTTCAGTTCTCACCAACATGTGAATAATTTATTTACAGTGTGACCCTCATCTTATCAGTGCAGATAAGATCCCGAGGGCACATGTATGGATGTCGGATAATCAGGATTTCAGGGATCTAAAAGTGAGTTTTTCTTTATAAGCATGTGACATTATAGATCATTACCAAATTACATAAGTAGATTCTTCAACATAACTCATTTTTCTGCTCTTTTCTGTCTGAAAAATCCTCTGACTGAATAATCTAAAGGATCTGTCTGTGCAGGAGAATTTACCGTTAGAGCAGCTGTTTTAGATGCAGAGAGACTCGGACCAATTCTCACTTCTCTTGTTTTCAGTGATACTGTGTAAAAAAACTCCAAACACATCCACTCATATTTAACTTATAACTTCTGCTTTTGTTCACACATTTGGTTTGTGAATTTTTCAACAAATTGCTGAATGACTTAATTGAAATCAAACCATTAAGAATACAGCTTTTATCGAGGTCTGACGTGTTTTTTTTACGATTCTTTTTCTCCAGAATTCTGATATCAAACTGTAAATTCTTAATAAACTCTTAAATTTTTTATGTCTGATTCTTTTTTTTTAATCCACTTTATTATGAAAAATTCTGAGATCAACGGAAGAATTATGAAACTAGAGTCTGGATTCTGACTTTTTTTTCAAAGTCCTTTGAATTAAAGTCTGAATTTTTTAAGATCAAAGTCGGAATCTTAAGATCATGAAAAAAATTTTAAGATTGAAGTCCGAATTTTTAACGTCAAAGCTGAAACCATCTGATTAAAGTCCGAATCTGAAGATCAGAGTCATTAGTTTCATATTAAAGTCAAAATGTTTCAATTAGAGTCTAAATTTTTGGATAAAATGTAGAATTTTAAATTTAGTCTCTACTTTTTAGACTATATCGTTAAAATGAAAACGTCTTTCTCATAATTCTGAGAACATTTTAAAATCGTAGATTCTGACTTTTTTCTCAGATTTTTGAGTTTTATATCTTTATATCTATTTTTAAATCTTTCCCAGAACTCTCAAATTGAAGTCAGGACTCTCATTAAACATTTCTGATTTTCAGGGTCTGGATTTTTCTGTTGTTTTCTTATAACCTCCGATCACAATGAGAATTCTGAGACTCAAATCAGAATCTGGACTCAGAATTTTAACCTCAAACTTAATATTCAAACGTTTTTCTCGAATAAAAGAAAAATCACAGCCAATCTTTTCATGAAGTGGCCCTGATCTCCTTCTGTACAGTGAATTCTCATCGCACACTGACACGCTTTCCTTTCCCATGGCCATGAGACAACCTTGTAAAGACACTACTGAAGTATTTCACTCATCCAGCATCAAATCTCAGGACAGCTAAGACACACTGAAAATATCATCAAAAGACACTTTTGAAGAAGGAACTCTCTCATCCAGTTCAGACCCAAAGAACAATCACCTTTTCCTTCAGGTTTTCCTGCAGCAGCTGAGCCTCGGTGAGAGAACCAGGAACATCAAGTCCAGCTGTGCCTGTGCTGGAAACCCAAACAGCCTCCACATCTATTTTACAAACCCTGAACAAAGTCTACTGTGAGCTGGCTGTAAGCTCAGGTCTGTGCAGCCTCACACTTCTGTCTTCTTCTGCAGAAAATAAAAAGGTTTGGGGTAAAGTCAAGAAGGTGGCCCGTGTTGTCAGCTGGTCCAAGAACTTTCTTCTGCCTAACTTCATACTTTTCCATCGATGTTATTCAGGAAAAATAAACTTGAATCTGGTTCAATTCAAAGTTTTGAGGAGTGGATCCTCCAGAGACAATAACAGATAAATGAACTGAGGAATAACAGGAGCATTTATTCAGGTGATCTCACCTTATAAATAGTTTTTTTTTTCTCTTGGTGGCAGTATTTTATCAGTTTTATTCATCTGCTCTTCATAATTTATCTTCACTGAAAAAATAATCATACTATTACCTTGCAGAGCAGAGGTCTCTCTGGACTTTTTGAGAGAGCAAACCATTATCCTGACATTTATCAAGATGCATTTTTTGTTTGTTTTGTTTTTATCTTGTTTTTTTGGGGCCCTGTATTGTGAATTCTCTCATTTTGCACCATGGCTTACTCTCTGGTTCCCACTTTAGATAATGTAGGGGAGACCGGGGCTTGTTGTCACATGGGTAAGTTGTCACGTTGCAATTATCTTTACCACCAGAGGGCGCAACTCAAAGTGGAAAAATAGTTTTCTTCCTCTACATGGTTAGGGGTCCTGTCTGAGAAGAGAGGAGAACATTGTGAGCTGAGATGAGCACCAATGAACCATTTCGAACCTCAGTCATTGTTCTGTTTTAAACTAACTTTAAGCAAATTAGTTAATTAGCAAACATGGTTGTTTAGGGCAACATGTCTCAGTCATTTTGGGGTTAGTTGTCACATGTTTAAAAGGGATTAAAATTAGCATAGAGAGTCTGCTTATCAGCAGTTGTCATAATGTAATTTTGACTTCATTTTTATTTTTTATTTTTGTACCCAGTATGAATGTGTATGTTGTGTGTACCGCTGCTGTAAACAATTTTAATTTCCCCACTGAGGGATAAATAAAGGAAAATCTAATCTAATCTAATCTAATTATAATTTTTTTAATTTTTTTGTCAGTATTTCTCTTTTTTTTTCGCAGTAGTTGAAGTGTGAAAGGGCCACAGAGTGTAAAATCCTTTATTTTTAGATTTTAAAATGGCAAAAAGGTGGTTTAAATTTCTCTAAAAGGTTATTAACATTTCTCCACACGTCCCTGGTTGACTCCCATTTAAAAAAAAATAAAATTAAAATTAAATAAAAAAAAAAAACTGTAGTTTTCAGCTGGATCAACCTCCATGGTTGCCTCCCATTTAAAAAAAAAAAAAGGGGGGGGGGGGGGGGTTATTACAATTTTTCCACACGTCCCTGGTTGACTCCCCTTTTTAAAAATTTTTGAAAAAAAAAAAGGTTATTAAAATTTCTCCATACATACTTGGTTGACTCCCTTAATTTTTTTTTTTAATTAAAAAGGAAAAAGGGAAAAAAAGGTCATTAACATTTCTTCACACGTCCCTGGTTGACTCCCATTTAAAAGAAAAAAAAAATAATAATAATTAAAAAAAAAAACTATAGTTTTCAGCTGGATCAACCTTCTCCCCCTCCTCCTCGTCCTCCCCTTTCTCCTTCTCCCCCCCCCTGCTCCGGCGGAAGCGGAGCGGTCCACTCCCCCTAGCGGCGGAGCTCCTCGCAGCCGTTGAGCGTCACAGCGCCGGTGTCCGTCCCCCCAGTCAGAGTGAAAGTTGTCTCCGCCGAGGAGAGCAGGGATCCGGGACTCGCTCGTTTCCACCGCCGCTGCTTCTCACGCTTTTCTCCCGGAGAGATGAGGCGGAAAGAGAAGAGGCTGCTGCAGTTCGCCGGGCTGCTCATAGCGGCTCTTCTCTTCCTCCCGAACGTCGGATTGTGGTCTTTGTACCGGGACCGGGTGTTTGACAACTCGCCCGAATCAGTGGACGGTCCGGGCGGCATCCCTCAGATACAGGTAGGGGGCTCGGGGAAGGGTGGTTCCGGTTGTGGGTTTCTGTGCGGTCCGGTTGTGACCGGATCGTCAGAGACCCGTTAATGTTGAGTTTTGTCCGCCTGTTAGGCTGCGTAGTTCTCATCCGCCTCAAACGTTTACTCACAAAACCGCCAACCTTTACATTCCCGTACTGTGTGAGTGTGTGTGTGTGTGTGTCTGTGAGACTGTGTGTGTGTCTGTGTCTCTGTGTCTGTGTGTGTGTGCCATGCTAAATAGACCCGTTTTAAAGCTCCGTGTCGTTAGCCGTGGAGCTGGGTGACCGCCGCGCGGCCACGTAGCTAACGCGGAGCTGGGGCGTCGCGGTAAACTTACAATAACAGACTTCAGGAAGTTGTCAAAATATGCGGCGCAGGCGGTGCTGCGTTCACAGGTTGACAGGAAGACGTCAGCTCACAGCTAAGGGAGCAGCACTGGGTCAGTTTCCACAGCTGTGGATTCACGTGGACATCAGTGTGGGTGATTTTAACGACCCCTGTGTGTGATTTAAGGTGCCTTGAGTCCCTGTGTGTCAGAGCTGATAGCCTATGTTAGCATCTACTGCAGCTAGTAGTCCTTTCACCGTGGATTGGTCTTTCTGTAGCATCCTAAACCCACTCATGAAGGGGACCTACGACCCCCTCCAGGGCTAGTGATTCTCAACTGGTCTCACTCTGGGACCCACATTTTCCCACGGTCTTTTTTTATAAAATTAAAACCAGGCAAATTTATTTCTTATACAAAAACACCTTCGAAGACTCAAATCTTTCACATAAATACACCCATTTTATCGAGTAGAGTGCATTTTAGAGCACATGAACTGAGGATGGCAACTACCGAAGTTGCTTGTACAAAAAATACAGATACAGGAAATATACAAAAATAACAAATTGCACAAAATGGAGACTAGCTAAGTGAATTTTTTTACTTGTATGCATCTCTGCATTCAGAGCATATTCAGAAGAACCTGAGGAGGACAAAAGTGAATAAATATCAAATTGCACAAAATAGACCAAAAAAAAAAAAAAACATGTATTTTTTCTGCATTCAGGCCACATTAATGAGAAACCCAGAAGGACCACGACATAACCTGTACCTTTCAAAATAAAAGGCATGTCGAACATTAGATGTGCATTGACTATGTGCTTTTTTGACCAGCTGTTCGCGACCCATCCAGAAGGTGTCCATGACCCACTTTTGGGTCAGGACCCACCAGTTGAGAACCACTGCTCAACTGGAGACATTAATGGAGGAGCTTTCTGGAGCGATGTATTCCCGGGATCTGGAAAAGTTTGCGTGTTTAAGGACACCAAAAATCTGTAGAGCATGGCCTGCTGTATCCTCTATCTGTGTGTTTGCAAAGCAGAGGGACAGAGGGAGCATGAGGGCGGAGAGGCTTCATCCTTAAAGGGATATTCAGGCAAAAAATTAACTTAGGGTCAAACCCACTGTAACACAGAGTTAGACCCCCCCTCCAGAGATGAATGTTGCCGACCGCTTGCTTCTCTAGTTATACCAACTTTAGTAACGACCGCAGGATAGCAATACAGAGAGCTACGTGCTCAACCAAAACGCCACTCTATAGCCACAAATAATGCTCAGAACAGCACCTAACTTCATCAACAGGACATATAGGGTCACAGACATAGTACTAGACACCAAACATCTTTTTAGCTTTGACTGATTTCTTTAGCAAAGAGACTAAAAAACAACTCACCTACTCTCTTCCAGCAGCCACTTGTTTGTAGCAAGACCTCAGGTCAGTCCATTACGGACTACAGCGGGGTGACGCAGCTCAAGGAAGAACATTTATGATCATTTCTTTATCATTTCCTCGAGGTAATAATCACCACATTAATCGTTTTCACTGCAGACGCGGTAGTTCTTCTGTCTTAGCGTCTCGGTCTGATTATTTCCATGAAGTAATGATCATAAATGTTCTTCCTTGAGCTGCGAAACTCCGCTGTAGTCCATAATGGACTGGTAGACACTATATGTCCTGTTGATGAAGTTAGGTGCTGTTCTGAGCATTATTTCGGGTTGTAGAGTGGCGTTTTGGTGACCTTTTGTCTTTGTTTTACCTCCGTATTTTAACATTATTGCAATTATGTCCAAAAAAACCTTCAAATATCGAGTCTGCGTTAACTAAAACTTGTTTTCTTTTCGTGTCATATGACAACAAATCACAGCAACTGAAACAAATCCTTAAGTAAATATGTTATAATGAGGGATTTTCAAATTCTTCAAACCATGAGATATTTAGAAATTCACACCTCAATTATTACAGTTAGCTATCGGTATATTAGCTGCTGCTAATGTTGCTTCAAACTCATGGGAAACAGCTCTAGTTATCAATAAGTTGGGATGCAAATCTACCTCCTACCGGCCTTTGTTTGCAGAGGAAGTCATCTGTGAAATATTGAAATATAACTCCTGAAAACTTCTCTCAGTTTTCTGGTTTTCATCATTTTTTCCCTCCATCATAAGGAGAAGTAAAGCTACGTGGAGAATTGCTCTTCCTTTAACATTTGACTTCTTTGAAATATAATAAAGGATTCAGTCTCTGCTCTTTGAGGATCCTTTGATTGGACTTTTTGCACAGTGTTTGTGATGCCTGGTGCAAATATCACTGCATTGACTTGAATGAATTTGCACGTCGCTAATACCTCAGATTGCTTTACCCCTGCATATCCGGTCCTGTGATTTGGGCTCTTGAGCAAAGACATTATGCAAATTGCTAAATTTCTGAGCCTATTCTAATTGAAGTTCCTTAAAAGTCATACAGACTTTACTTTGTTTGATATTTCTGTGTTTTTATTTCTGTTGTTAACCCTGGTGCTTGAAGTAGAAACCTACTTGACGATAAACTGCGAGCAGACTGTGATTCATGCAGTAAAACTTTATTTTTGTGAAGTTTTAGATTTATCGACTGAATGTAAAAAAACATTTCTCTCAATTTTAAATAACTTTTTATAACGTGAGGATTTCTAGATTCACTTTTAGGGACTTTTTGAGTTAAACAGGAGCTTGTTTTGAGAGTGGGGACTGGAGCAGGATCTCGGTGTGTGTGTGTGTGTGTGTGGTTGTGTGGGTTTGTTGGTCCTCATGAGGATTCCAAAACGTCACCAGAACGAACCCTATTAAGCAAACAATAGCAGCTCCTCGAATTCAAATGAGGCGGATCTGCTGAATGGAGGCTTTCACTGATGGTATGTGTGAGTGAATGTGTGATAATGTGAGGTTTGGGAGCCGCTGATGTCCGTCCAAATCCTGGAAACTTGTTTTTGGCCGCACTGATTGTTGAAGTTTAGTGGAAAAGCCTGTCAGCTTGTGTTGTAAATTGCCCGTCACATGCATCAAATATCTCTGCAAACTATCGCTCGCATCTGTCAGTCTGGGAATGTTGACAAACCCCCATCAGAAGCCCTCAGTGATGTTTTCTCTGCCCCATCGTTGTTGGTGTTGTTATCAGCAGCTCCGGCTAATTTGCAGACTGAATATTGGGAATGATAGAGCCAGCTTATTCTGCACAGATCTTCTCGGAGGATTACCTCTTCTCAGCTCGAGTTTGACATGTCAAAATAACAGGAGCCGTTCTGAAGGGGATTAAAGGACGTCTCCAAGGCCGGGGGAAGCCTGTTACATATTAGCAAAGTGTGTGATAACAGCTGTCAAACTCCAGAGCAGTTTGATAACAGACGGATAGAACGATAAAGGAAGATGCCAACTCTCTCTCAGAAACGGAGAGGAAGCGTGAAACCAAATCCAGCGAAAGAAACAGTTCAGACTCGTTTGTTTAAATTGCTTTTTCCAAAAATATCAAATCGGGTAATTGGGATGTGCAGCTCTCGTTTAATCCTGTCTGTCAACTGTCAGCGCTGGAGCTGAGACTGATACAATCTGACACACTTGATCTCATTATCACTGTCGACGTGTGGTCTTTCCTGGGTGATGTGGAGCTTCTGTACCCGTCCACGGTTCTTCCGACACTGACACTCCAACTCCATCTCAGAGTTTGTCAGGACTGTTTAGTTTTCTCTCCTTTCCTGGAAACATTTTTGGATATCAGACTGAAATATAACCGTATACTGTGGTTTGATAAACGCACAGGAAGTAGATGAAAAAATCATGTGTATCATTCACATTAGTCGACTCGGGTTAGATGCAACTGTAAGTCGAGGCAAGCGCAAAAGTTGAAGTTAAGTTCCTGTTTTGATCAGCTGTTAAATAAAGTTTTGAGGTGGGAGTAAGTCTGGTAGTGTTTGAGTAAACGGCGGCCTGTCAAGGTGGTAAGGCTGGACGATTATGGCAAAAATAATAATCAAGATTATTTTAACTGATATTGAAATAATCGAGTATTTATTGAAACACCAAAACTTAACTTTAAATACAACTCAAAAGAACAGCCAGAAATGAATTTGTAACAAGTATACAAGTGAAAAAATAGTAAATTTATAAAATAATAGCAATAAAAACAATACATAAAAATAGAAACCCAATCTACATGCACTCCTGCAGCTGCACATAACAGGGTGCATTTAAGGTGTTTTTCCAGCATAGGAACTTATATACATGCCACACTGTGCAGCACATTAATCGTCTTTCTTCGATTATAATGTTTTTATGATCATAAGAGGCCAAAATAGAAATCATGATTAAAATTAAATTAATCCTCCAGCACTACGTGATGTTGTCTGCTGTTTCTTCTAATGCTTTAGTGTAAAACTGTGTCTGTCAGCCCAGGACCCTGCAGCTCTGACATGCAGACAGCAGATAAGCAGGAGAAAGAAAACACATGACTGTTTCAGCGCCAACAGTCTATAGATGGCATCCATCAGAGTTCTAAACCAGACCCAGTTCTTCCTGACTGTTATGGTTCTCCGGGGCCCTTTTACGTTTGTTCTGGTCCTGCTGGGAGGCCTTTCTGAAACAAACTGGAGCACTTTCTCGATCCTACCAGCGCTGTTCACTTCTCTTTACTCCTCTTCTTCACCAAAGACCCAGAGGAAGGTCAGGGGGATACTTAAACTGACAGTGACTCTTCTTTTGACCATTTAACAGATTACAGTTGGTCCAACTCCACCCTGTAGGGTCAGATAAGAACCAACTGAACCTGCCAGAAACACTCAGATGGTCTGAGATCTGCTCGGTGGAAAGAAAGGCTCAATCCCCCTAAATCCAGGACATTTAGATTTTGTAACTGATTAGCTGTAAGTTTTATTTTGCACATGTATCATTGCTAACCTGAGCTTGTGCTGCTGAAGGCTGCCATATTGGATTATTTGGGGGTGAAAATGGCGAGTGTTGAAAAGGCCACAGGACACGGTGTAGTCACAGCTCACAAACGTCAAACACCGCTCCTCTCTGACAACTCTCTCCTTACACTTCGACCGCTCAACGACAGGTCGCTTTAGCTTTGGTTTTCAGAGATACAAAACATCATCAGTACGACACGCCTTCACTGAGCTCACTGCAGCGGTGACAGAACAGTCGTTCACGCCTTCCCTGACTCTTACCTGAACACGTGTTGGAGCAGCGGTGACTCAGCTCTCACCTGCCTGCGTAATCAGCTCAGGTGAGAGGAGACGAGAGCGAGGAAGAATAAGGCGGCAGGATATTCCTGTTTTTATGAATGATGTTAGACTGGCTTCTGTTTGTCTCAGAGATATTTTTAGCTTTAATTGTCCTGGGATGTTATTGTGGAAACAGATGATCACAGAACATGTATTTTAGTTGACATCATCCTTCTCATAACCGAGATAATTCCAAATAACCGACTTTACTTTTCTTTGTGCCAACAAGTCTTCATCTTCTTTTCTCTTGTTCGTTGTTCATTTTGCCACCGTTGTTGTTGTTGTTCCCGGTGTTATGCTGAGAAACACATGCCTGCAGAGAATTGCATCCACCCTGCAAAACGTGCACCTCTTATAGTAGAGTGGTCCAAAGAAATGTACAATTTAAAACCCATACAGTTCTTATTTGTGGGGCTAAACAGCGATGAGTAATGTTCTAAAAGTAATTCTCGGTAGGTTTGCGTTTCTCGGCACAACAGCGCCAGCGACTCACTCCAAGCAGGGGCGTGGTTTCCTTCTCTTTGATTTTGATTGATGGCTGGCAGGGTATTGTGATTGGACAGCACATGCAGAGTCACATGCAGTGTATCTCAGTCAGCTACCCTTGAAATTAGATGAGTTCATTTGCCTCCGACATCGCAGGCTCTGCAATGTGACAATCGTGTAAACGGACATCGCCTTGACGATGATCAAACGATATATCGTGCAGCTCTAAGGAAGAGTCAGAGGAGGTGTCAGAGTTCGACCTGTTAGCTGCTGACTGCTCGGCTGACTCTCCTGAGAGCCTGTGTTTTTGCCTTCGCACATGCAGAGATCGAGACTTGTACAAGTACGTGGCATCATTCAGTGTGCTCACTCTGTACCTCTGCTTTACTAACACACTCCTGGTAACTACAGCGCCACACCCAGATGTTTTCAGAGAGCAGATCCAGCTCAGGATCCTGAACTCTGTGTGGAGGGTTCTCAGGTCAGGAACCGTTTCTGGGCCAACCTGCAGGTGTTTTTTTCTCCTCTCTCTCTTACTGGATGAAATCAGCTCAGATAAAAGTCCAGAAGATGAAGTGCACTTCTGAAAGCAAAGTTGGCTGGGACTCACGGCTCTGTCGCAGAGAAATGAGAATCATACAGGACTCTGTGCACACACTGCAGACTGGACTAGTGTTCATTCATCACTGCGGGACCTCTAACACATGTGCGGTACACACATCCAGCTCTACACGCCGCTTTGAGAGCCGGTGGAAGGTCAGTCAGCGACGGTCTGGTCCTCCACTTCCTGTTTGTGCCTCAGAAACTACAGATCCTCAGACCACCGCAGAACAAACTTGTTTTCTGAATAAATACCCACAGTGCTTGGGTCTGATTGTGAATTCCCCTGCTGTCTGCTCCTGATGTATTCCTGCCTCACAGCCACGATGCAAATCAGATATTTGTCTGACCTCTTTTGCCCTCCAGGACTCCCCCCGGCCTTCAAAACACTCTGAGTCTGACATTTGTCCTTCTGAAGGAAATAAAAACAACAACTCTTGATTTTTTTATTCATTCATTTTAACGGCTGGTGTCCTTTTGAAGAGCACACGCCGGCTACAGGCTGCGTTAATTAGGCTGCAAATGTGCTGAGACGTGATAACAGCCAAGAAGTCATTTAAAGCCTCTTTTAATACGTCAAGCTAATATTTTCACCGCTCCATACATGAAGAAAACCTTTAGACTCTTTCTGTAAACTTATATAAAGTCGCTCTTCAGTGATCATCTATCTGTGCAGGTTCGTCTTTAGACCCTGACAGACATGAAATGATTCCTCGAGTAAATCCAGGAGCTCGATTTACAAAACAGACGGGAAGCAAATGACTCGCCTGGAGCCTTGGTTTAAATCCAGTCTGTACGGCACACTGTGTTTTTTTCTGGCTGTTTAAGGATTCCAGTCATAAAACAATCAGACGTCAGCTCTGAACAGCCTTAAACGCCTAATAACCTTCATTTAGCAGCAATAACACAAAGAATTAGACACCGTTTCTACAGTCATCCGTCATTTACGGGCTTCTGCACTGAGAGACAGCGAATCAGCTGTGAGGGAATGAATTTATCGTCCACCTGGAGATGTAGTTTAAGAACATAGAAAAATACTTAGTTTTTAATGTTATATCGTCTTTATTTACAGAGTCCTCTCCGTCTGTCGGTTTGGTGAACTTTGACTCTAAACTTCATCCTGATCGACTTTGAAGACTGACGGACTGTTTATCTTCCTCGGCTAAGTTTCCTTCTCTGTGATTCAGGTTCAGACTTTTTGACTGGGGTGGCCAGGGTGTTCACGCCCATACAGATATTATCCTGTGTGTTAACTTCTGTTGCATAATAAGTCATAAGAACAGATGTAATAGGTCTACTACAAAATAACTAAAACGTTTCCTTCATGTCAAAGTTAAAAGGGTTTCAATCATGTTGGAAATGGAAACGTATGCTGGCGCTGATATCTGAAGTGGGTCCGTCTGGTTCTGGTGTCTTTTTCTTCCGAACAGACGGACCGAGTGGCTGGAAAACGTAGAAAGAGCAGATGAAGCAGTTTGGAGGTTCTCTGAGAACCGACAGAGGAAATATGGAGGCACTGCGAGCTCAGCTGCCCAGACTCGTCGGGCGCTCGGTGACTGATCTGGTTTGGATTTCTCACGTTCAGGATAATAATCAGTTTTCTCGTCACTGAAAGACGAATCTTTGCTTTTTCATGGCTGTTGAGTGGAGACGCGGTTGTCGACGCCGCTGTGTTTCAGAGAGCGAGGTGGAAGCAGGATCAGACGTTTTTCATTTTTTTGCCTTGCATACTTTTCTGTGGTCAGAGAGGTGAAGTTGGATTTGGTGTTAGAATCTTGAAAAAACCAAAGCAGAATGACTTTTTTGATGGATTTAAAGATACCAATTCATAAAAAGTCTTATTCTAAAATAGGGATGCACCGGTCTGATATTTGATCAGATATCGGCTCTGATATCGACAAATAAACTGGATTGGATATCTGATGAATGACGCCGATCCAGTTTTTTTAAATTAATATCAAACACAGTGATTCTGATTCACTGAATGTTTACATGGAAGTCAAACTTCTTTTTGTGTTAATGTGCAATTTGTTAAAAAATAATATAAAGTAAATTTATATCTGTGTTAATTTGTTACCTTCAAGCCTGATGCCTTCACTCACAGGTATACAGTTCATTTATTCAACAGTAATATTGGATCAGTATGGGATATCGGCCGATACGCTCAGCCCAGGTATCGGTATCAGATTGGATCTGAAAAAAATAAATCGAAGCATCTCTACTCCAAAATAAAAGTCACCACCAGTTTGAAAGTTTTCTAATTTTGGACTCTGGGTGTTACCGGGTTTCTAAAAATAAAACAGAACAAGAACTTCTGGTTTCTGACGGTTAGACGCTCAAGTACAAAAACAGGAAACAACCTTTTAAAACTCTGACTCTCAAGTCCTTTTAAAGACACTTGATTGGATTTATTCGACCACTTCCTGCTGTTCAGATTAAAATCTTTTCACTTCTTCGGTGTTTTCTGTTCTTGTGTATTCTCGTCCGTCCTGATCTGGTGTATTTGCACGCTCCAGATCCCAACATCGCCGCAGTACGGCCCGTGATGCCGCCGAATACAAACGGCGCTCATGGAAACTCCTGAAAGGTAAAACATCAATAGCGCTCAATAATTAAGCTGCAAATGTGCTCCGACATGATAAGACCCCGTCGTAGTTCGCCCCGGAGCTCACTCTGTTATTAAAAGGAAGTTTGTATTTTCATATTGGAGGAAAGGCCCGCATCACTTCCTGTGTGTTTAAGCTGCTCCTCATTCAATCCGAGCGTCCGTGTCGTCGACTCTCTTATTAAATTTTCAGTGAAGGTTTTGACGTTCCTCTCATCGCTAAAACTGAACCCTGGGACTTTTACTCCGACTGTCCCAGATTCTGGCGTCTCTGTGCAGTCAGCTGGAAGGCCTGGTCCCTCTTCCTCCTCCTCCTCCCGGCCTCTCAGACCCGCGTCTGCCTGTCTGTTTCCTCTCTGTTGCTATTCTGATAAACATTCAAATTGACTAAGTGTTTACCTCGTGGTTCGCTTTTAAAAAAAATCCCTCCTTTCTGCTCCGTCGGCATCGTGTGGGAGCGAGGGAACGATGTTTTCTGCCGATAGCGAGCAGCGATTTCAAAGCTCAAGGCTGCACCTCCAGGAAGCGTGAATCTAAAAGTGCACAGAAACAAAATTGAATGGATCCGGGCTGCCCTGGCAGAAAACAGCTCTGTGCCGGATTGTAAGCGCACATGCTTGCAGGAGAAACGAGCCTCCTCGAGGCGTATTTTGGATCCGGGAGTAATTTCAGGCTGCAGTGAATTTTCTGCAAACAAGTGGGAAATAGGAGCTCTCTGCAATTAAGGAAACCACATCAACTCTACGAATCCTGAGAGGTTAAGAGCAATTAGAGAGGCTGTGAGAGAAGGATGGAGACAATTTAACCAGACTCGTGTTATTGTTTTTTTTTTCACTACAAGAAAAAACAGCAATAGTCTTTTATTTTCTGATAAAGCTGCCTGTACTTGTGTTGACATGAGGTTTCATCACAGCAGGCCGGCTGCAGGAATTCAGTGATCAGGAGACAAGCTGTTAACGCGGGTACCTGATGCAGCCTCGCCGAGCTGCACGGCGAGACTGGGAAATGAGATTTCACCTTTAATGTGCGAAGCCTCTGGAAAGGAGGGAGACTGAGGGATGAAAGTCATTTGCAAAGACAAGTGGAGTTACTCGCTGCAGACCTAAGCCGTTGCACTCTATCAGTCAGAGCTGCAGAGAGAGAGAGAGAGAGAGAGAGGATGAAGCACCTTGGGAGGAAAAGGCAGAGTGAGCGGGTGAAAGACGTGTTTGTTTACAGGCTGACTTTGTTGGAGAGCGTTTCCTCCCCAGGTTCCTCACACAAGGCGGACGTTGACTCTGAGCACATGCAGGAGCTGCTCTGTATGCCTGTCAGGGATGTGCTGGCCCAGATCGGCGTGAGGAGCCAAATGAGGGACAGGTGCAGCAGACGGCCTGTGGATATGGAGCGAGGAGTCAGGCTTTTAATTACAGCCACGTGGGTTATGGAGCCGCTCTCTTCATGATCAGATGATTAGGCGGATCCCAGGACGCCAATTTAAGGTCAGGCAGAACAAGACTCACCGCGCACACGTGTGTTAGACTGAGCGTTCTTGGAGGAGGTTTTCAGTTTACGTCTGAACCGTTCACTTGTCAGTCCTACAGCACTTAGAGGTGGAGTAGGCAGGAATCAGTTAAAGACGCATCTTATTTTGTAGAGGCGTTTATACAAAAAATCTTTTAATATCAGTCAATAGTTATTAGTTATTGACGACTGCTCCCCCGTGTCGTTCAGGAGCCCAAACAAAGTTAGCGTGCTACAATATCGGACAGTAGAAACCAACCAGAAAGTTCGGAAAATTGTCTGAATCCTCCTTTGGCCACGACTGCCGACACAAGCAAGAAAACAAAGTAAATACCGGAGACTCTGGAGGAATAACGGGCGCTTAAAACGGAGGTAGACCGGACAAGAGCTAAAAAGCCGGGTCAACATAAACCATGGGGGACGCTTGGGGATCTTGGTGACCCTGTAACCTTTCTGCTGGACAGGTAAACCGCTTTAACAAAGTAAGACAAGTGTCTGTAACAGAAGTGTTTCTTGTCAAACGGACCTGCTGTAGCGTGTTGTAGCGCCATCGCTAAACTGTCCTCCCTCGGGTCCTGGACTATGTCACTTTATCCTCGTTGTAGAAGTCCTGCAAACATTGTGTTTGCTGGTAGTCTGTTGGCATCTACAGTAGCACCAATGCTTTTGACTTTCACCTTGACTGGGCCCCATTTGTAATGATCTGAAGTATTTATCTGCATTATATCTGAATTTAACTGGAACGATACGAGCGAGCAGGAGCGTCTGTTTGTGGGCGGGGCTTGAGGGGAGAGGAGGAGCTGAGGGGAAAACTGGTTTGGAGGGGTAGAGTTTACATTCTACACCACCTTTAACCTTTAAAATGTCTTAATAACTCTTTGATAAAGCTGATACCGGATCCTCATGCAGCATTGTCTTAAAAACAGACATGACTCTGCGTGTTTTTAGAATTCAGTCCAAAAGTCTCGTCTGTGAACAAACGCAGGTTAATACTGTAAAAACAGTCAGAATCATGACCCAGAAACAGGCTTTTGTGGACCTGAGACCGTTTAAGGTGGACTGACGAATCATAATTTAGCATCTTTTAGGAAATGATGGATGTGCTGTCCTTTCTAGTTTGTTATCCCTGATGGTCCTGGGATCATCAGAGTCCGTGTCACGGGTATCTTCCACATCAGGACTCTGTAGTTGGAGTCACTGCATGGGCTTAATATCACTTGTTCATGAACTGTCCTGAGGTCTGATGGAGCTACATCTAACACTCTTTTGGAAAGGACAACTGGAGTCCTTTCAACGAAGAACTGGAATTCATAGATGCTTCATCCTCAGTTTTAAACAACATCTCCAGGTTTAGGAGCAACATCTGCGTCCATCCAGACAAAGAGTTTTTCAGGGAAGACCTTCATATGATCCCAAACCACATTCTGACAACAGGGATTACAACATGATGGCTCTGTAGGAGAAGAGTCCTGCTGAGAAACCGGTCTAATCCAGTCCTGACTTTTGGAGCATCATGAAACTGAAACATAACATCAGACTAGTTTGAGCGTTTTGCAGTTTTCCAGCGTTGGATCTCGAACCCACGTGCTCTCGCTGCGTGTGTTTGTAAGTTCTGCCGCCGTAACACCGTCTCTGACCTTTGCACTCCTCATTAGAGCTCGCCGGTAATCTCGACGAAGCAGGAATTAAAGGTCACCTGCTGCTAACTGCTGTTATCATCACTGTTTCTCATCTGATAAATTCCTGAACTGTGAAATGCTGCTCATTAGCTCTCTGCGTTGAGAACATGTTATTAGCTGCAGGCTGATAAACGGCCCCGCGCCCTCGTCTTTGTGTAAACCGTCAACGGCGTGGTTGATCACAGCTTCTGACCTGTCCGAGGGAGATGCATGGCGATAGTTTTCTTCAGAGAGGTTGTTTTGTCTTTGATGCACAGAGCATGTTTTGTTTGTATCTCGGCGTCTGGTTGTCCGCAGCGTTTAAAGACGGTCTGCTGATGTCTTTGTGCATACGAGATAAAAGCGGCGTTTGTGAGGATGTGCTCTAAAGACAAAAACAGGGCGCTCTCCACATCTCCTGCCTGACTGAACAGCAGTAATGATCGGGAGAGGAAGAAAATGACAGTCATGGCACAGTAATGACACTCAGCAGAGCATCATGGGAAATGGGGAGCAGATGAACTGATTAACCCGAGGCAGGTTTGTGCGTCTGCATTTTCCTCTCATGCAGCCGTGTCCGTTAACAACACACGACGATGATGAGGATGTGTTCACATGCTCTTCAGTGACTCGGTTATTTTCTCTTTGAGCGAAAACTCAACAACGTAAATGAGACTCAGAATGAAAACACCTGGATTACACCCGGATTACACCTGGATTAGAGCAGGTGATGATGTTTGAAAAGGGACGAAGTCTTAAAGGAGATCTGTTATGATGATTTGAACTACATACAATAATTCTACTATGCTGGATGTCCAAAATCCTGACTGGGTTTTCCAGGTTCCCTGAATGATCTGTTTCAAACATGGCCGCACCGTGATATCAGGCTCTACTTCCACGAATTAGAAACTCTCTTTAATAACAGTCAGCTTCTTCCAATTTAAGTAACACAGCTAAAGGGATTCCACAGATTCTCTGCGCTCCAATCCGGAACGGGAGGCAGATTAAAAACGCAAGCATACAGCGCCCACCGGATCCGATCCACTGCTGTAAGCGGAGGAGAAGCTCTTGCGATATTACAGATTTTTTTCACGAGACTGGACAAGATCTCGTGTGTTTCTCGGTAAGACATTGAATGAGATCGGCGGTGAATATAAACAACCACAACTCTGGCCCCTCCCATGATCACGTGAAGAACAGTTCAACATATTGACTTTATGTTATTTTGAAAATTAACCAGATATTTTACCTGGGATTTCCACCGCATCCAGAACGGCTCTGATCCGAAACGGCAGCGATTTTCGCTGTACGCCAATTCCTACCAGATCCTACCAGTTGGTGAGGTGAATTTCGTGGAATTCACAAGAACTCACAAGAACCCGTGGAATCACGTGCAATCGCGCAATAACAAGTTGGCTTTTAGCCACAGAGGCTAACCATATAAGCAGTAGATTGTGTCCTTCCAGAGGAGGAAATCTACTTCTAGACTTCTAGAATCAGCATCTCCTCATCCATGGTGTCATCGGGGTGAAATGACGTCTAAAAACCTTTCACTTGTTCGTCTCCGCCCGTTTGCATGGTGTGAAATACGATCCTCCTGAAACACGGAGTGTTTTATTTTGAAAAGAAGCCGGATGTTTTATTTTGTGTCTGTGCCCGACTTCCTTTCCAGCACGGGTTAATCTGTGCTGAATTTATCCGGCATCCAGAAAAAATAGAACTCTTGTGATCAGCTGAGGAGTCCAGCGATCCGCAGAGGAACGGAAAGAAGTCGGTGTAAATTGACACGTTAACTTGAATGGTTCGATCAGCTACGATCGGAGGATACGACCTTTTAGTAGCCGTTCTAGATGTTGAGGAAATTGCCAGTTACTCTGTAGCCGCATACAACTTCCGCTGCTGCTCGTGTTGCGCTGCACTGAATTGATGTGTTGTGCTGCGGCGTCCGGCAAAAATAGAAGACTTGCTTATCTGATCTGTAACTGGACGGTGGACAGATTGTTTGGAATCACGCACTTTGACTATAATGCCTGCGTATTTGATCAGGCTGCTGTTCCGGAGTGGAGCACAGCCGTTCCATATTCTGTGGAATTTAACCGTAAAGAGACGTTCAGCTACTTAAAGGGACATTTCAGCATTTTTGAAAAGGGTTAGTGTGAGTTTGACCCACAATGGATGACAGTCAGACAGAAACAGGAACCTAAACATGCTCAGATACATTGGTGATGGTTGTAGCTGTATCTTGATTCACAAAGATCTCCTCACTCTTAGGTCAGAGTCTCTCTAAATTAGCTAAATTATGAGTTAGAGTCGTTTACCTCATTGTCCTCTGAATCTGAAGGCTAAAATACACAGAATAAGATTTTTTACTTCCTCTTTCAAAGCTGAAGGTTGATCTTGTACCAAAAAGCCAAATCAGGTTAATCTTTGAAAGGATTTTGAGTCACGGCTGAAACGGTTAACAATACTGAGGCAGCTGGAAACCTTCGTCATTAACCTGATGATCAAAATAATTCTGATGTTTCCCAGAGTTCAGAGCGCCTGAGTCTTAAAGCGCTCTTTTAGACATCAGACTGCAGTCGCTCCTGAACAGCTGGTCCTAGACTGACGCGCTGTCCCCTGAAGAAATTGCTGCATTTTTCTGCTCTGTTAGACCGTGGCCTTCTTTAGTGAGCGGCTCGCAGGAACAGCAGGTGATGTCATTGTTGGTGTTTACGAGGCTTTGATCATTTCAGACACACACGCACGCCGCCGCTGCCGCCCCCCACCTGTCTTCATCTTGAATCATAGTCGGGGGGAATTTCTTCTCTTACCCTCGCCTTATAAAATATTTTCATTGGCGTTGATTAGGGTTGTAAAACGATGCGTGAAGGGACAAGCTGTGCAGGTGAGGAGAAAGGTAAACGGAACAAGCCGTAAACGCCGGGAGGTTCTGTGGAGGCGGCGGCAGTCTTGCTGCAGTCGGATGTCCCGCAGCTGCTGCTCTGGACACACTTAAAGGGATATTCCGGCGTAAAATTGAGTATGGCTCAAGTACACTGCAACACCGAGTTAGACAACCCCGTCGAGAGATGAATGTTGTCGACCGCTTGCTTCTCTAGTTTTACCAACTTTAGTAACGACCACAGAGAGCCACGCGCTCAACCAAAACGCCACTCTATAGCCACAAATAATGCTCAGAACAGCACCTAACTTCATCAACAGGACATATAGGGTCACAGACATAGTACTAGACACCAAACATCTTTTTAACTTTGACTCATTTCTTTAGCAAAGAGACTAAACACAACTCACCTACTCTCTTCCAGCAGACGCTTGTTTGTAGAGAGACCTCAGGCCAGTCCATTACAGACTACAGCGGGGTGACGCAGCTCAAGGAAGAACATTTATGATCATTTCTTCATGGAAATACAATCAGACCGAGACGCTAAGACAGAAGAACTACCGCGTCTGTAAAATGATTAATATGGTGATTATTACTTCAAGGAAATGATAAAGAAATGATCATAAATGTTCTTCCTTGAGCTGCGGCACCCCGTTGTAGTCCGTAATGGACTGGCCTGAGGTCTCACTACAAACAAGCAGCAGCTGGAAGAGAGTAGGTTGTGTGAAGAGTTGTGTGAAACAAGAAATCAGGCAAAGTTAAAACGATGTTTGGTGTCTAGAACATTTCTTAAGTTGGTATAACTAGAGAAGCAAGGGGGGGTCTGACTCGGTGTTACGGTGTGTTTGACCTTAACCTAATTTTACGCTGTAATATCCCTTTAACTCTCCTGTTTTTCAGCGACATAAACCTCTTCCTCTTTTCTTCAGTTTTCTCTAAAATCCACGCGTCCGTGTTCCCTCTGCAGAACCGTTCCTCCTCAGATAAGCTGCAGTCCTCTGAACCTTATCAGCACAGTTATTAATAGCTCCCCGGCCGTCTCCCTGATGTTGTTGTTCCTCCGTCTCTGTGTCTGAGTCAGACTTTACACCCGGACACACCTGAAACACTCAGCCTCACCCCGCTCAAACATGGCATTAAAACCCCGCTGATGGAGTAACAATGCCCGGGTGGAGCAGGAGCTGATTTCCAGAATGTTGCAAGCTGCTTCGCATGACTAAAAGCTTAATTTTAAGAGGTTAAGTGCTCTGAGTGATTATGTTTCTTCAATGTTGACCTTTTCTGTGCACCCTTAATCAAAGAAATCTCCGAGTTCTTAATATTAACACCCTTTCACAATAAAAGCTTTCTGACATCACATGAGCCTGATGTTTCAGAGGCGGGAAGCTTACAATATATGTTAGTCTACTAAAGGTGCAATGCTTGGATTTATCACTTTGACTTCATGGAAAGAAGACACTGGAACAAACCTGGACACTTTTGCACTTTGTCGCTCGGCCCTGTCTTTGTCGGCTCGGGCTGCAATGACTACGATTACTTTTGCGATTAATCGAATAATCGTGGTAGCCCTATTGTCAGCATGAAGTTGCAGGATGTAAATAAAACATGTATTATGAGTTTTTTCAACAGTTTGAAAAGTTCCTGCAGAAAGAATCCGAACTTTCCTCCAGATTTTCTCTTTTCTGCAGGTTGTTATTTTTTCCGTTTTCCAGCAGAGACACTTTAGAGAAAACAAAACTCTCCGCGCTCTTCAAGCTGTTTTAATGTGTTTCATGTTCGCCGGAGAAAAGAACTTCTGTAGTCAGAGCTTCACACTGTTTCTGCTGTTTGTCTGTTTGTTTGTTGGACTTTTTCTTTGGTGTGATTTTTGTGCTTTCAGTTTGAAGGACAGACACAATGTCAGATTGAAGAAGCTGCTTCTCGTTTGTAGTGTTGAAATATCGAGTGGAAAAGAAGCAAATATGACGGAATAAATATCCAAAACAACCTCTTTTCCTCTTCTGTATGAAACTGTCAGTCAAACATATGAGCTCTAACTCTCACTTCTCCATCCTGAGTGTTTCTGTGAGTCTTTCAGACCTCAGAGATCGTCTTAATGCTGCCGTGAACCTCACATTTCACTCACTGAACTCCTTTAAGGAGAAACGGCGGAGGAAATGTGACACCCTGCTAATTTGTGCCTGGCTGATGTAGCCGCCTGTAGAAATGTGATTTTCAGCGGCTGCTTTTAAGCACCGACGTGTGACTGACATGTGAATTAAGCTCATGACGAACACGCCACGCTGAGGGGAAAATAACCAAATCCCTCGCGTCTGCCAATCTGACGTAGTTTTACAGAGACAGAGAGGAGGGTTAGCTTTGTGTCTGATCAGAAACTCATCAGGAAGTTGAATAACCAGGTCAGGGCTGGTAACCCGGTTAGTCTACATTAAAAACATCTTTTATTTTTTGCGCAGAGAACAATAAGAGCAACGCCCGTAATGAATGAGTCATACTGAAGCTCAGGTTTGTCTTGAGGTGAACGAGGACAGGATTGAGGGTTTGAGGAGTCAGGGAGGAGCTCATCAGGACTCTGAACGAGGACGTCAGCGTTCTTGTTCTTGTTTTCGACCGTCATCAGTCATGTTGAAGCCGATACCAACAATGTGATGAGAATTAATGAAGGCGCATTATGACTGTCTGCTTATTTTTTAATATTCTGATATATCATCATCACGTGGTTGATATAAAGACCTCGTCATACAACCCCACAGACACCAAACTGTCAGGTGATGAGCGTCCTGACTCTGATCTAGATGCAGATTCCTCAAATTTGGTGCGTTTACGTGTTTTGCATCGTGCTTTGTGGCGCAAAAGCTCGACGTTTAGAGGGGTTTATGTCACCGCGCTGACTTTGTTAGTGTCTGAATAAAGGCGACACAATTTTAGACAAAAATGAAACCCCGATTTTTTTTCTCTAACAACTCCATTTAGATTTTTTTTCAGTGACAACTTCACAAAACTTCACTATAATAAAAAAGTTTTTCTATCATCTTTCAAAACTAAACCACTGAAAACGATGTAGTTCATATGCCAAGCCAGTGAGTAGCGCTGTAACGACACTTGATACGACAAAAAACTTAAGCGTTTCCTCCTGAATTGGTTTCCGTGGTGACGGGTTGATACCGCCTTCAGACAGACTTCGCAGCGGGGAGTGGTTTACTCTTCATCTGAAACTGTGAAGTCGTACCAATTCAACACGACTGACTCGCTCTTGTCCTATTTAACCACGAAATTATCGCCTACTTTTGCGAACGCCATGTTTGTTTACACTGGTGTGTGTGGGAAGGGGGAGTCTATGATGGCCTGAAGGTGCAAGACAAGATAGAGAGGAAAATCAATTTGAGGATTTTAATTTTTTTTACTTTGTCATAATCTAATAATCTGATTATGAATAAAAATCGATGAATCGTGCAGCCCTAGTCTGAATATGTTCGTCGTAAAAATGAGTTTAAATCGTTTTAAGAGTTTTCTAGTATATTCCTTTTTCGTGTAATCGCAGCAGAAAACCAAAGTTTAGCTTCCTTGTCTGATGAGGTTATCAGAGAAGATCTCACAGATACCGACACAGAATAAAAACGTCTGCAGAGCTCGTTCAGCCGGAGCGGCGTGAGGTCATGAATGAAGCTCTCAGGGCGCCGACGCTTCTTTTAGAGCGAGGATGTGGAATGTGAGGATGACTCATTTCTGCTGCTATTGTTAGATCTGTGAGCTCCTCAGGTGAACCGGTGCCTGTCATTACTCTCTGTTAGCAGCACTGATGTGAGGCAGCATGTTAATAGATTTAACATGTTAATCCATTATGAAGCAGACCCTGAATACGGCGCCGCAGACTCCACTCCACATTAGTCTTATGTATCGCTCTGGTGTTAAACTCTATCATCCCGCTCTCTCCTCGTCCCCTCGCTCACAAATGTTGGTAATTGCCTTCCAGTGGAGCTGTAAAAAGCTCTCCCCGCTGAGCTCATTGTTTCCTCTTTCCCATCCAGCGACAGGCCTCCAGCTCTCTCGCAGTAAAGCCCGGCTCTGCAGGAGGAGGCGGCCGTGGGGAGTCGTATAGAGGGATGCTATCAGGATTAAAGCTGCTGAGAGAGCTGATTTGCTGATCATTATGTAAGCCACATCTGTCCTTTGTCCCCTCGGTGGCTCCGGGGCCTCCCATGCACGACGCTGCCAACATGAAGAGACACGGCTCTGAGATTACCCTACAGAGGGGAACCCGGGGGGGGAGGAGAGGGTGAAGGGGTGAGCACACTCCTCCTCATCGCAGAAACACTTAGTCTGTGACGGAGAAGCGACCGGGAAAACGGTGTTCCTGTGACCAGCCAAGCGCTCTCAATCCCAGAACAAATGTCCTCAGACGGACGCAGTAAATCAGGTTTCCTGGGATAAAAGCCTTCAAGACGTGGTTTGATCCATCTGTCTGAGGAATTACTCCGCTTGTAAATCGTCTTTCATTTACATAAATCAACATCCAGCATTTGTAGACAGTGAAACTACCATTGAAGGACGAGCTCCTACCCTGAAATGTTTTTGGTTCATCCTGATGAAGGCCTCACATGAGTAATCGGTTGTCTGGAGTCATCATGTGTTTTCAAAAGAGCTGTAACGACATGATATTCTGCTGCTGCGTTCTGTCGGAGTATTCCTCTATCAACACTCGCCCGCTCGCTCGCTCGCCTGCTCTCTATTTGTTGGTGTGTTTGCCAGTTTTGTTTGTGCTCTCTGTGGAGTGCTGTTCTGTTTATGTCGACAGTCAATAACAACCCGATCTTCTCTCAACACGCCAGTGAAACCTGTGCCGTTAGATCTGCTCCGTATTAGAGCTGTACCGGATAATGTGGGTCGCCGTCGTGTTCATCAAAGCTGTTTTAATGTTGAATATTAGAGCGACACTTTTATGTGTAATTTAGGAAAATAACTTCAGAAAACATTACGGAGGAGATTTTTCTCAGCAGATGTTCCTTTTGCTAATTTCCCCACTTTGGGATGAATGAAGATTTACCGTTTCTCGCTGTAGAGGCATGGGACTCGGACTCAAGTTGTACAGATACGAGACCGAACTCAGACTCTAGATTCTGGGCGTTACAAGCAGCTCATCCATCTATCTGGAGTCGGGTCGCAGGGGGGCGGCAGCCTAAGCAAGAAAACCCAGACTTAGTGACTTCGTCCTGCTCTTCCCGGCGTTCCCAAGCCAGACATACAGTCTGTTTACATGACACTCAAGAAAACCGAATTATCGCCTTACTCCGATAAAGACCGGACAACTGAAGGTCATGTAAACACCTTAGTCTGACGATAATCACAGTTTGAGAACTCTGATTAAGACACCCAGATAATGCGATTGGAATTTAATTTTCTCTACCATGTAACCAGCGTAGTCGGAGTATGATCGGACAATGCATGTGCGCCACGCCCCCGTAACCCCTGAACAAAAACCCCAGAGTAGAGGAGTAGCGTTCGTCTCATCTACAGAAAAAGTAGCGCGTCCATCATGTCGGACAAAAACAACGCTGTACGATGCTCCATCTTCTTGTTTCTCCAAAATGACCCATATCGCCCCCTAGATTGGGGAGGAGGACACGTTCACGTCAATAATTCAGTTTTCTCAGCTGCATGTAAACGAGGACAAGGAGAGAAGTCTGATTCAGAGAAAAACGGAATTATGAGTTTAGTCCGATTAAGCTGTGCATGTAAACACACTGAGTGTCTCTCCGGCGTGTCCTGGGTCTTCCTCGTTGTCTCCTAGCAGTGGGACGAGCCTCAAACACCTCACCAGCGCGGCGTCCAGGAGACATCCTGGTTAAACGCCCAAACCACCTCACCAGACTCCTCTCAGCCTGGAGGAGTCCTGGAGGAAACTCGTTTTGGCGGCTCGTACCCGCGATCTTGTTCTTTCGGTTTCTACCCACAGTTATGACCAAAGGTGAAGGTAGGACCGTAGATCCACCGGTATATCATCGAGAACTCTGCCTTTCGGCTCAGCAGTGTGACCGTGGACAAACATCCTCCTTTTTAATCCTTTAAGATCCGATCAGGAATACTTCGCCTCTGTTTTACCGCTCTGCTGTCGTAGTTCAGTTTTCAACGTTACAACACCTGAAAAACACTTAAATGTATGTTGTTAAAATGAAGAGAATAACTGGGATACAGCTACTGGTATGTTGGGATATTTTCTTGACCTGATTGTGGTTCCCTGACCCCTCAGAGTCCCGAGGGTCAGTCCTTATGTTCTTTAAAGAGGGTATTTTGATTTTGGACAGGATAGGAGCGGCACGGGGAGTGGGCGGAGCCTCAACTCAGCACTTCATAGCCGGCGTACAGTATCTCTCTGCTTCCTCTCCCTCAGACATGATAATAAGGAGCTTCTTTGAGCAGCACTCTGCTCAGATGGGTTTGGACCGGAGCCAGTAGAAGCTGTGACCACGGCGGCGGCACCACAGCTGTAAATTACCACCGAAGCCCCCTCACACATCCATCACGCTACGTCTCCTGTTAAAAATCAATTCTGAAGCGGTGTAATCTCGCTCGTATTACGCTGAAGTTCTGCTCTGTTAAACACATCTGTCATATCCCAGTTTGACTGCTGTGTTCCTCTCGTCCAGCAATTATTGTCTCCTCTCCTCAGATAGATGCACTTCATCCAAATTGTTTAACCGTTCTTAAAAAAGCGTTTGTCCGGAGAGGATAAACGTTGTGCTGCATAGCCGGCCTCATAAATATTGCAGAAGCAAAGATAGAAAGAAAAAGAGAGAGAGAGAGAGAGAGAGAGAGAGAGAGAGAGAGAGTGCTCGCCGTTTGCTTTGCAGCAGGCTGGTGAGGGTTTGGCAAGGGTTTGTTGTTGGCATTAACGGTGAAGGAGATAAACAGTGACTCACAGTTTTCTGCAGAATAAACATCCTTGGAGGGGTGAAAGTGTTCACACAACATGAAAGTCTTAAAACTGCCAGTTATTGCCTTCGTCTGGATGTCAGGCGTCCAAGAATTAAGCAGAGATCTGCGCCTGCAGGAGCCAGAGAAGCAGCCATCTGTCATGGCCTTTGTCCAGTCCTCTGCCTGGTATCTCTGGTTGCAGCAGAGCTGTGGATAATGACTCCTGTATGGAGATGAGACGCTGTGTGGCAGCCCCGCTGGGCCCCTCTTCCAGGGCGGTCTCAGCGCCCCAGTCTTGGCTTTTGTGATCCACAAACTTCAGCAGCAAAGAGCAGTGGAGCCGGAGCCCGAGGGGATGGGAGATTTGGGAAAGATCCACAGTGAAAAACTGGCTTTTCTTTAACTCAATATTTCTGCGAGGCTTTAAAAAATACAACGCCAAACACCAGAATGGGTTCAGCGACGCAGTCAGTGCCAAGAGCCGACTTCTTAACGGTGTCAAAAGGTTTTTCTTCTTCTCTTCTCGTCGTCTTTCCTTTGCCCTTTCTAAAGATTTTGCTGCTTCTTCTTCTTCTTCTCTCTCATCGTTTTCTTCCACCATCTGAACCGTCACATCTGCAGGATGAAACCGTATTTCCATCGCCTGCTCTCAGTTGTTTGACTTTGCCTTGGGCGGGCTGTTTTCAGTCGCTCCTTGTGCTTTTACCTCTGAAGAGTATGGCGCGATACTCTCACATTCAGAGCCACTGTGAGCCAATTTGCAGGTCTGACCTCCGGGGTGGGAGTCAGATCATTTAGGTCCCTCACATCAAGATTTTGTGCACTCAGACAATAGTGGGGTGAAAAGTCTGCTGTGTGGGAAGTCAGGTGAGTTAGAAAGTGAGCTGGAAGTGATTTTGAAGTATCCGTGTTTGGGTTCGCTGACAGCCTACACATCCATTTGGCAAATGTCAAATCTAAACTGTTTTAACCTGCAAAGTCCTGCTGCTTCCTCTGTCACCCACCTCCACCACGGCGCCTTTTCAGGCTGCCTCTGAATTCAACTGTGGCGTTTGTAGGGTTGGGTACCGAGAACCGGTTCTAACGTCCAGTTCTGGAACTGTGAAGCAGATTTCGGAGTCTAACGTACCTGCACTAGTTTGATTTCGGGTCGTCTGTTACTCGCCTGAACATGGACGGAGTAGCACAGTGCATCATCTGCCAAAAAAGCAATTTCCTCCAAGAAAGGATGTACGGAGTCGGAATAACGGAGTGCCCTATTTTTGACGTGCTGTGCAGGTTTTCCTCTAACCAATCAGAATCAGAGAAATCAAACAATAAACGACGTCTGTCTTCTCTTCACGTTGAAGCAGTGGACAAAATCTACTGTGTACGACGGGTCAACTTGAATATCCAACTAACGTTAGCCCGTGTTCTTTTCATAGACAAGCGACCTGACGACAAAGATTGATATTTATATACTGGTTGAAAATAACTCTGTGTGAAATTTATAGTAAAGTTTAGTAATTCATGGAGAAGTTCAGACTTTTCACCCAAAAAAGAAGAACTCTGCTTAGCGCCCTCATTATAAAAAGCATTTTTTTACCCTGCTTCTTAAAGAATCGGAATAGAGAAACGTTAGGAACCAGAATCAAAGCGAGAATTCAGAATCGGATGTGCAACCAGAATCGTTCAAATCGAAATGATGCCGAACTCTGTCTGTCTTTGCTGCTGCTCTCCCTGAATTTACTTTTCATGCACCGAAACAGAAACTAAAGATGTGCTCCTGAAAACGATTCCTCGATTACAAAAAATGATCGGGGAATTTTCTCTGCCTCTAGTTCTCGTTTATAAACTCAGATCGTCACTGTTTCACACGGATTACTTTCAAGGTGACACAACGTGCTTACGTCACCACGGTAGAAGGAGGAGAAAGCGCCGTTTTGGTTTTGCAAAGTGGAAAAATGAATGATGAGACGAACTTTTCTTCTGCAGAGTAGTGCTGCAACTAACGATTATTTTTTTGTCGACTAGTCGTCCGATTAATCACGATTAATCAATATCTTCTTTATTTATAAACACCTATTTCCGGGGTGTCGCCATTTCAGGTGCTCATGCGTCGTCGTGGTGCCGCCATGGTAGGAAAGCTGAGCTTTGATCGACGTGTTTTTTCGGTTTGTTCTCCGTAAAATGTTCCCAAACTTTTGAAGTTTTGGGTCGGAGTTTTGGAGCGTCTTTTTCCGTTTGTTCTGCCATCATGTGTGCACTCTTCTTCTGTGTTTGCTCGCGGGATGTAAATTTAGTAATTTGTCGTGTCGATGTAATTGATTACGTCGACTAATCGTTGCAGCCCTACTGCAGAGCTCCCGTAGCTCATTTGCAGTTCACCTCTGAGTCGTGGGCGGAGACAGCCATGCTCCGCACATGACGCACACCGCAGCCTAACATCGCTGGTGTTGTAGAAGAAGCAGGTAACATCGGAGCTATTCAGTTCTCGGACAATAATGACTTTAGGGACATGATGAAAGCTAACATCATAATCAGCTTTCTTACAAGCGTTGTGATTACTCGATGGAATATTGGGTAGAATACTCGATTACTAAAGTTTTGGATACCTGCAGCCCTGCTCCCCCTGCCTCCACAGAATAGAGGATTGTTTTTTTATATCATGCTTACCTCTGAAAAACCTGAAACACCAGAGAGAGTCATTTCCAGCTCTCCACCTTGCAGGATGCACCTTGTTTTGTAATGGTCATGTAACAGCTTGTAGGCAGAGAGGGGAACAGGTGTTGTGTTGGTGGTGGTGGTGCAGGTGGAGGCTGCTGGTCGGTACCGGAGCACATGGTTCTATTTTTAGACACCCAGCACTGCCAGGTTATGTTTGCGTGTGATGAGCTGGGACAGCCTCGGCAAATGGACCTGTCTAAGAAGTGGTTAAGGAGAGGAAGAGGTGGAGGGGAGGGCGGGGGCACGGGGTGAGGTGGAACAGGAAAGACAGGTAATTGTGTCTCCGGGGGGGTCGAGCCAGATCTTTCTCTGATCTACCACAACAGGAGAAGCAGGAGAGGAAGAAAAAAACGGTCTTCTTAGTCCGAGCGGCTGTCAGCGCTCAGCAGGAGGAGAGGAAACAGGAGAGGGAAGTATTGACCCAAGGTGATCTGATTCGTCCTCCTCGGAGAATGAATGGGAGGTTCTGTTCTTATCAGACGCTCTGCCTCTTCACTTACACCGGCCCCTCAACTTCGCCGAAGGCGGCCCACACTCAGCTGAAATATGGGTCATTTCTCTGCTGTGCATGAAGCCGACTCCGTGGAATTCTCCATTCGCTGCAGCAAAGAGGCGGGTGGAGGAGAATTCTCCATAAAAACCCCGAGAACCTTTTTTATTGACTCGGGTTAGGCTCCTGCTCTTTGACTGCTGCAGACGTACCAGAGCTCCAGGTGAAGGCCTTCAGCTGAGCTTCGGTATGAAACTCCACCCACCGCTCAAGAAGCCTGAAGACTGTTGAAGACAAGACGATGCACACAGGTTGGACTGAATCGTTCGGTAGCATCTCAAATGTGATTGGTCGCTTAGAGGAGCAGAAAATCAGACTTTTGAGATGAGATGAGATTCAATTTATTGTCAATGTACAGTACAAGTACAAGTATTTTCACATCTCACCAGAGTGCAGAGTAAACATGTCAGTGCTAGAAATTGAATAAATAATAATGTGCATTATAGCGATAAATAATAAATAAATGCATTCAATACTGTCAAATTAATATTGCACAGAAGTGCTAGATTAAGGTCCAGGTCCAGTGACCATATTGCACATGTCCACAGGATGAGTTAGCAGAAAATCAGACTTTTGCCTTATATTCAGACGAGGCAAGCGCTAAAATAACTTTAGTAGATGTAGCCGTAATCGAAGATGGTAACAAGATGGCTTCATCGAGGAAAGTTACTTTAGCACTTGCCTTTTATTTGGACGAGGCACCTTAAGCGTTTACCTTATATTCTGACGAGGTAAGCACTAAAATAACTTTTGTAGCCATCTTGTTTTCAACTCCGATTTTGCTTTTTTCCGACTTGTTAACTGGAACCCTGGTAACTCAGGTGTGACGTCATTTTCAGCTCGGACTTCTGACTTCCGATGAAACTCAAACGCAGCGTTTATCCTCTTGGTGTTTGCAGACTCGGACAGGTGTTTCCTTGTTACACGGGGAACCTTTTGACATTTTGGTCTTTATAGTTCATTCAAGACCAGAAGAGAAAATTGTCGATTGTTTCATTTAACTCTCTATTCTCTAAGTTTTCACCCAGAGAAGATCGATTTTTAAGACCATGTTCCCCCCCGTCCCTCCTTCTCCAAACATTAAACCAGTTTCAGAGACACCTGCAGACCTCTTACAGGTGTCGTCTTCACACCTCAAGGATTCACTCAGAAAAAAAAAAAACACTGAAGGAGTCACAGAACGAGAAATGAATTTGTGAATGAGAAGGAAAAAAGACCTTGTATTACTCTGCAGAAATCTGTTTCTCTCTCTACCTTTCACACGTGTCCTACAGGTGATCATTCATGGGTGTCAGTGTCAGATATAACCTGGGATACTGTAGCTCTGAAAATCACAGACAGACAGACAGCAGGTGTGGACAAAACTCGATCCATGACGTGAACGGCGTAGAAAATGTTTCTGATGAATCTGTAAATACGCCACCTGTGACACGTCCGAATCAAAGAAAGATCCCGCCTATCTGTGACGGCGGTCTCTCTGACCCGTCTGGGCCGCATAATCGCGCGGCGTCCCACAACAGCTGCCAGGAGTCTAAACCCACAGCAGCAGCACCAATCCCGGCCTATCTGAGCGAAGAGCAAACCTAATCTGCTGTTGGGCAGATTAACAGAGGACCACAGCAGCATGGAAATGAGGTTAGGCAGCCAGCGTTTCAAAGAAGCTCTCTGTAATCTCCAAATCCCTCCATCGAGGTCACCCAGAGGAAAACCGATGGACCGGTGACCGACTGCTGTTTCAATTCACGCCACCGTGTCCTAGTTCAGGTGAAAGACAGACCAGAGCTTTAGTGATTCATTACGACAGAAACGCGGCGGGATTTCTGTCCAGAACTGGAGCGATTACATCAGGACGCTTTGACCTTGATTCGTCAAAGTACGAATCACTTGTTGCGTCACGGTTTTGGTGAGTCTCTGGTATGAAATATAGACGGGCGTTTAGCGTCTCTGCTGCTCAGAGCTGCTCTGCGAACTCTCATCCTGACGATCTTATCTCTGTCATCTTCAATCTGCAGAGCTTCTACACCTCACCGCCATCTAATCCAGGAACAACATCTCCGCGCTCTCGTCTCCCCTCTCTGCTGCGTGTCACTGCGCTCGCTCCGGGTTACATTGTGAGCCTCTTTTTAAGCTAATTTGTTGACATTTCGGGACCCTTGTAAGTGCGCGAAATGAGCCGTGAGCGCTTCTTGTTTGTGAACTAACTCCGGATACACGAACATCCCCGACCGTGGGGAGAGTCGGGGCTTTGACTGTGATTCACAGGCAGATTTGTCGGCTTGATTGACACGAGGGATGATGATATCCTCAGGAGGACTAAGTCACATCGAGTCTAAATTTATGTTTCGTGTCTTTATTCTCAGATTTGACTGAGCCGTGACTCAGACGGGGCTTTTGCAGCTCCGGTTGTAACTTTGCCTCCGGCCTCACAGTTCTCTCCTGCACCCCCAGCAAAGACACACCTCACAGTCCCCACGCCTGCTGTTTTGTGTAACATCACATCCTCTTACTTCATTTTCACACGTTGGTGTGGGTTTTTCAGGCTGTTTCATTTACAAGCTTTGAGATAAAACCGCCCGGTGCTTCGTCTGGAAGCTGACACTTGTGGAAATGTTCTCGTGTTTACTCCACCCGGGTATCATGTCTGTGTCGGCTGTTTCAGAAGATGGTTTTATGAGGGTTAAAGAAGCAGCTGATTGCACCCTTGTTTGTGTACAGATGTCTTTGCAAAGAGCCACACCTTTAATTACTTTGTGAGGTTTTTTGCAATATCCTGAAACCTCGGATCAGACGCTCAGACGAGGATCACCGCTGAGTGGGTTAGAAGTGATGACACAGCTGGGTGTGGATGGTGCCTCAGACCACTTTAAACTTCAGTGGTGTTGGAGATTATTGGGTAACTTCACCTTGATCATCGTTGTTGTCACTGAAAGATTTTGGCCAAAAAGAAAATCCAGATTTTTTTTCTCAGAAAACTCAATTTTCGATTTACAACTTCACTGTTTACAGTCACCTGAAACGCAGATACAACAAAAAACTTCAGCGTTTCCTCCTGAGTTTGTTTCCATGGTGACGGGTTGATACCGCCTTCGGACAGACTTTACAGCGGGGAGTGGTTTACTCTTCATCTGAAACTGTGAAGTTGTACCAATTCAACACGACTGACTCGCTCTTGTCCTATTTAACCACGAAATTATCGCCTTCTTTTGCAAACGCCATGTTTGTTTACACTGGGGTGTGTGGGAACTGGGGGGGGGAGGAGCCTACGGTGGCCTGGAGGAAAATCAATTTAAGGAATTGAATTTTTTTAACATCGTCATAATCAAATAATCGGGGCGCCACAGCCTGCGATGAACTGTTCCCTGCCTTCGAAGATGCTGGGATAGGTTCCAGCTCCCCCGCGACCCTGGGAACGGGAATAAGCGATAGAAAATGGATGGACGGATAATCAAATAATCCGATTAGGATGAAAAAATTGATTAACCCTGCAGCTTTACTTATTTATACACCATTGTCGTTACAGAGATCTTTGCTGTTGCTCTCCCTGCCTCTGCTGGTTGTTTGGTGAAATTGCATGCTCTATTAGATATTTTAATCGTCTTGTATCATATGTCTGCTGTTCAACAAGTCCATCTAACAATCATGTTCATTTCCTGAGCTCTTGGCGTTTTATTGCGGCGCTCTCTCTCTCTCTCCCTCAGTCTTTTTCCTCACAGACTCACAGAAGATCTCTGAGGACAAAAACCCAAACCACCAAATCTAATTTATTTCATGCTTGTAAATATCTCTGTTTACTGAGGTAGTCCTGGCTGAAATGTTTTATCTGGTGGTAAATTGACTCTTAATTCTCAGTCGACGGTTTAGTTCTTGTAGGAGGAGCAGAGACGTGCCGTTGATGAACAAGTTCGGCTCTTATTTAAGTTGGATTAGGCGACGCTAACGCGCCCGTCTCTGCGTGTTATGCAAATACACCCACACATTTGGTAACTGACACACTCTGTCTGTCTTTTGTGGATCCTTGTGCAAACACTGACTGACATGTGGCCTTTTGTCATCAGTTAAATAGAGCACTAAAAGGCTACATTAAATTTAATGGGGGATTCAGTGCCAGGTGACAGAGTTACAGCCCCCTTCTCCCGGCGCTCTTCACGCCTTCCCCCATTATCTCAGCCTACAACGCTTTATTCTCATGTCACTTTAAGACGTTTTGGGGCCTGTCAGTGACATGTTGGATGGAGACCATATAGCCCGGGTCCTAAATTTCGCTCCTCCAGCATCTTGAATATTAACCGAGCTGAGTTAGTGGATGTTGAGCAGAAGAGAAGAACAGACGACTGTGTTTGGTAGAGACTTATTTTCAGCTCAGTTACAGTGTCTCATCTCGGCGTGTGTGTGTGTGTGTGTGTGTGTGATTTGGCAGAGAAGCTGAATCGGTATGAGCTGGCAGAGGCAGAGCTGGCTTTTCCTATAGCACATGTGCAGAGTGAATTTTCTAATACCATGTGGAGACGTCCTCTCCGAAATTCAGATTTTGGATTTAATGTTTTAGCAGTTCCTTATTCCTTATCATAGATGCATCTTTATGACTCAGTTGGACTCTAAATTACAGCGTTTTTCAAACTGGATGGTCTAATACAGATATGAGCTCCTATGATCCCTTTGTAAACACCAGCTGATTGTTGCGTTGTCGGTTTGTTTACATGCTGTGTCTGAACATGATCTCATCATACAATCATGAACTGATGGAGGTGTCCAGAAGCAGCCGATGTGCCCATGATGGCCCATGTTTGTGATTGGTCCATGCTTGTAGCCTCCCGTCTCAGATTTGGTGACCGACACTTGAATTGTTTCCTGCACACACTGTTTTTATACCTGTAGACCATCTGTTAAATAGACGCTCCCTCGTCTCCCATCGTGTCCTTGCACCTGCAGCGTGTGACACATGCTCCTCTGCAGGTGTGCTACGTCTCACGTTGAAAACGACCTTCTCGTCCCTCCTCTACGCTGACGCACAGCTGGTTTCTGCTCATCTCGCTCTGCGTCGGTGTTAATCACCTGTTATTGAAGAGAGAAACAGAGATGTTAAAACAGTGACTCTGAGTTTGAATCTGTGAGTTTTTCCGCATCATTTCCCAGAACTGGAGGTCAGACTCGGGGCCACGTATCGGTGTCAGTCCCTAATGAGGCGGACTTTAACCTTTCAGCATGCTGGTGTCAGACTGGAGCCAAAGTTCAGCCTCACACAGCGGGTAATATAAGAATCAGAAAGGACCGGAAAATCTGGACTGTCCCGGAGGGTCAGATTGGTTTGATACGTGACTCCCATGGACAATTTTTATAGCATCCAGAATGGCGGCAATTTTCACTGTCCACCAATTCTTACTGAATCAGTTTGTGAGGTGAATTTCGTGGCAGATTATGGACAACGGTAATCACGAGAACTCACAAGAGCTCAAGGATTTACATGCAATCGCGCGATAATGAGTTGTCTCTCTGAAGACAGACACATAGACATATAAGCAGTAGATTGTGTCCTTCCAGAGGAGGAAATCTACTTCTAGACTTCTAGAATCAGCATCTCCTCATCCATGGTGTCATCGGGGTGAAATGACGTCTAAAAACCTTTCACTTGTTCGTCTCCGCCCGTTTGCATGGTGTGAAATACGATCCTCCTGAAACACGGAGTGTTTTATTTTGAAAAGAAGCCGGATGTTTTATTTTGTGTCTGTGCCCGACTTCCTTTCCAGCACGGGTTAATCTGTGCTGAATTTATCCGCCATGCTCCGGCGTCCAGAAAAAATAGAACTCTTTCGATCCGCAGCAGAACGGAAAGAGGCCGGTGGAAATTGACACGTTTACGTTACAATCAGTTAAGATCAGCTACGATCGGCGGATACGAGCACCACGGCGATGCATGAGCACCTGAAACGCCTACACCCCGGAAATAGGTGTTTATAAATAAGCAAGATAGTGATTTATCGTGATTAATCGGGCAACTAGTCGATAGATTAGTCGACAAAAAAATAATCGTTAGTTGCAGCACTAGTTAATCTGTGCTGGATTTATCCGCCATGCTCCGGCGTTTTGGGGGTAAGGCTGAGCTGCGTCAGTTTTAATCCAGGTGTAAAAATAAAACCCAGAGAGCTGATATTCCCTGGTTTTTATTCCTCACTCGTCATGTTCTTGTGTCGATCTTCTACCAGCATTTGTCTGATTATCACTGCGGTTCGTCTGCAGCTCCAGAGGATAATCATTTCTAGATAATGAACGGTTGTAGGACAGTCTTTCAGCCGGAGAACATCAGAAATGCGTGCACGTCAAGTGGCTATTACAGGAGGAAGGCGTTTGAATTGGAGGCTTTCACCGTCGGCGTCCTTTTACTCTCCTTCCACATGTGATCGCGCCCCCATCTGTTCAGACTCCAGATGATTCTGTCTTCTATTTGCTCGCCTTCCTTTACTGTCTGTCTCAATTACTCTCACCCGCCCATGTTCTGCTTCCACCAAACTAAACATGTGCACACATTAGCTGCAAAAGTTCCCCTCTCTCCTTGTCTTGTTTTTCAAGGTCTTGTTGAGCAGCGAGAAAAGGCCCAGAGGAATATCATGGCGACGTGCGCTGAAATTTTAATCAGGGGGAAATGGGGCGGCACAATCTCGCTTCTTTTTAGTATAAATTTGCACAGATGGACTCTTGCTGCTTGTCAGGTCCTTGTGTGACACACTGAGGGCATCTGCCTGTGACAGAACGAGGAGAAGAAGAAGAGTGGTGGGGGGTGAGAGGGGGACAGAAGCAAAGCTGAATGGATTTTTATATTCGCCTGCTAAATGGCATCTCTTTGTCACAACCAAGGCCAGAGAGGGGATGGAAGAACGGGTTATACATCCGTCACACGAAGAGGCGGGAGGATTTCAGGGTTTCAGACGAACGTACAGAAACCCTTCAACCGAGAGAAACTAACAATATGGATCCAAGAACGAGTGAAGACGACAGAAAGACCTCCATCATTCATCGCACAACCTTCAAATATTTGTCAAATATATAAATAATGTCTAAAAATAAACATATATGCATTAATTGTTTTGGTCATTAGAACACCCCAATTATGCTAATTACTCAAAAGTGATGAAATAAACCACTCAGACAGAACATTACCAGGCCGTTTGTATGTTTGTACCTCAGGAGAAATGGGAGTCAGTTAGAGCCGCACGATTTTGGCCAAAAAATAAAATCCTGATTTTTTTCTCTGGAAACTAAATTTTCAAATTCGATCTTTGATTTAGTGACAATTTCATTAAACTTCATCAAACGATGTAGTGCACATGCCAAGACAGTAAGTGGCGCTGTGTGTAAAGGTCACATGATCGTTTCCAGAGATGCAGATAAACATCCACACAGAGATGAAATGGTCGTCGTTTACAGATTTATTCTCTGACCTGTTTTTTAAAAAGTACCTGAAACGCCGTTTTCGTGTGAATGAAACGCTGTTACGACAAAAAACTTTAGCGTTTCCTCCTGAATTCGTTTCCGTGGTGACGGGTTGATACCGCCTTCAGACAGACTTTACAGCGGGGAGTGGTTTACTCTTCATCTGAAACTGTAAAGTCGTACCAATTCAACACGACTGACTCGCTCTTGTCCGATTTAACCACGAAATTATCGCCTTCTTTTGCAAACGCCATGTTTGTTGGTTGGTTCATGGTGGCCTGGAGGTGCGAGACATGATAGAGAGGAAAATTGATTTGATGATTTTAATTTCTTTAACAGCGTCATCATCAAATTATCCGATTAGGATTTAAAATCGATTAATCGTGCAGCCCTAGGGTCAATGGGGCTTCCTGGTCTTTTGGAGTCAGCCTCAAGTGGACACTTGAGGAACTGCAGCGCTTTTGAACCTCCATCAGAAATAGGTGCAGATGCCTACTTTTTATTCCCCTTAGAAATGAATCTTGACACAGATTTTACTCCCTGACCGTCACATTTAGAAATATCAACGATTAATCATCGACTGTTTAAAGGAAACAACATCAAGTCTGATGTTATCTGAAGCAACATGATGGATAGATAACAGATGGTACCAAAACTGTTTAATTTGAGATCATCTTACAGGTCATCCATAACGTTATAAAGTCCCAAACCATTAAACCTTAAATCACCACAGTTGTTTTATAGAGATGATGAAGTTTCAGTTTCAGTCGAGAAAACAACAACCAGGTAGCTGCTCATCCAACCCTAATTAATATTAAATATATATATTTTTATATTATATTAATATCTTTTCATCCCTCATCAGGTTATTCGGTTGTTTATCAGTCGACTCTGATTCTCGATCACAGGAACGTTCACCTCAGATCACCCTGAGTGTAAAAATTAGGGTCCATTAGTCATTTTGGCGTCATGCTCTCCTGAAACAGCCCTCTCTAATAATTCAGAGTGTTTCATTCAGGCACTGATGCCGTTTGTATTTAAAGTGTTTCACTAATTGCCCATCACCATCGGAGCTAATTATTCCTCCATTGTGCTGTGATCCTGTACTCCACGTCGCACAGTCTCTGGAAGTCGCTGTCTGTGTCGAATGAGTAAGTGGAAGCAGAAACGGCGTCAGAGCTGCTGTGTGCGTGTGTGTGTGTTTGTGTGCGGTTGTGTAGATTTAAGGCCTGCGTGGAGCCGAGCGTCGCGGCGTTGATATTCTCCTCACAGGGTCGTCGAGCATGAAATAGAAGAGCACGCTTTCTGAGGATAAACTCTGCAGAAGTCTGTCGCTGTGGAGAAATCTCTGAGCTGCACTTTCCTTTATCTGTGTAAAAGCTTTTAAAGGGACATTCCGCTCATTTTACCCCCGACAGAAACATCATAAAAACCTCTGACAACTTCTGAGAGTCGTCTCAAAGTTTACGGTGCTCTTGAGTCGGTGGAGTATTTGGGAGGTTTCTGGTGGGAGGAGGAATCAGCCACATCTGGCACTTGAGACTTGGCTGCAGAACAGCGTTGCATTAACAGGCTTATTTTAGAAAAGCACATTCCCAAACCGTAATCTGTGATTATGCAGATCGACCGTTCAGGCTGTTCAGAGCATCTTTAGTTTTTCTGAGACCGGTTTGAATAGCTGTGTAATTATCCTGCTAATGAGATTCATATATGAAATTATACACTTTAAACACGAGTTTAAAACTAGATCGGTCGCCAGTGATAAGACGTCCCTGTTATTGGAGAGGAACAGCTGATCTGTCGGCTGAGATTAAATAATCCCAGATGGAGACGGTTTGAAATATCACAGTTTCCATGTTTGTTAGATATAAAGTCTGTTTTTATTCTAGATCAGTGAGGAGACATGAATGTGTCAGACTGGCTTTTTTCTGAGGCGCAGTCCTAAAAGTAGTGATGCTGGAAACATCCTGTTTTCAGATGGGAATATTTCAAAATAAAAGCCCTCCTACCGTCTGAGACGTGGGGACCTTTATTGGGCTGAAGACAAGTGGGTCGGTCAAAACACACCTTCATGCAGGTAGAACTGTTAGTGGCCCCGAATTTCCACCATATCCAGAACGGCTTTAATCCGGAACAGCAGCGATTTTCACTGTCCGCCACTTCCTAGAGGATCCGTTTGTGAAGCGAATTTCGTGGCGGATTACGGACAGCGGGAATCGCCAAAACCCACCAGAACCCACAGATTCACGTGCTATTTAGTTGTCTGTATAAAGACAGCCACATAGATATATAAGCAGTAGATTGTGTCCTTCCAGAGGAGGAAATCTACTTCTAGACTTCTAGAATCAGCATCTCCTCATCCATGGTGTCATCGGGGTGAAATGACGTCTAAAAACCTTTCACTTGTTCGTCTCCACCCGTTTGCATGGTGTGAAATACGATCCTCCTGAAACACGGAGTGTTTTATTTTGAAAAGAAGCCGGATGTTTTATTTTGTGTCTGTGCCCGACTTCCTTTCCAGCACGGGTTAATCTGTGCTGAATTTATCCGCCATGCTCCGACGTCCAGAAAATCATAACCCTTGCGATCAGTTATAGGGTCCGCTGATCCGCAGAGGAACGGAAAGAAGTCGGTGTAAATTGACACGTTAACTTGAATGGTTAAGATCAGCGAACATGGCCTTTTCACCGCCGTTCCGGATGTGGTGGAAGTCAGGGTTAGACATGACTGCCGGCCAGTGCGTAAGTCAGCGGCGGGGAGCAGGTTTCCATCCAGTTAGCGAACCCTTGACTCGGCGTGTCGTGCGTCTCTCGACTTCTTTTCCTCACTGACCGTTCGTGATCTGGTTCAGACAATGACACTGGTGGGGCGGCAGTAGCTCAGGAGGTAGAGCAGTCGTCCAATAACTGGAAGGTTGGCGGTTCGATTCCCCTCCTATCTTGAGTTTGTCCGTTGTGTCCTTGGGCAAGACACTTAACCCACCTTACTCCCAGTGTGTGTCGTCCACTGGTGTGTGATTGTGAGTGTTGTGTTGTGTGACGTCCCCTCAAACAGACGTCACAGCGAAGGTTTGACTTCTCTTGTGTCTGATGGTCTCTGTGTCTGTTTGTGTTTCTCCACAGGGGGTGAACCGGGTGGGGAAGGACTCTCAGCTGGGACACGGCGGCGTGCGGAGGAAAGACTGGCACGACTATGAAGCCATCAAAAAAGATTCCTCCAGATACGGTGGGTTCAAACCTCCTCACAGGAAATACGAGAGCTGTGTGTCTCATCCATCGTGCCCACAGTGTTTGTAGAGACGAAAAAAAATCCACATATTTGCACATTTATCCGTTCACACGCAGCATCTTCTTCCCTCAGTGGGACTTATTGCTCCCCTGCTCTGCAGCGGCGGCGGTGTAAATCTGCAGTTTGAACGCAGTTCCAGCGTCATAAATATAGTTTATATCAGCTGAAATAATCACCTGCTCAGGGAAATCAGCCTCTATACAAACACGGTAAATTAGAGCGAGTCGGTTTATTCGTGGAAAGAGCTGCAGAGGCTCTTTTATTTCTAAACCTGATACCTGAGGAAGGTAACGGGGAGAATTTCAGCCCAATGAAACAGAAACCATGAAGGTTGTTTTTTTCTTCTGTTCGATAATAAATCTGCGCTGAATGAAAGTTGATGATAAAACGTCGACTCGAGGTGTTCGTATTTCTGTGGTCCGGGTTCATCTGCAGGTTTTTCCTGCTTCACTTATTTCTTAGCGGTTTATTCAAAGGCTGTAAACGAATTCTTCCTCCATTTAAAGTCTTGGACGTGCACAAGTGAATATTTTCACCGTATCCTCAGTTTTTCATTTTCCAACTCCAAGCTGAATAAAATCGAACATGTTTGATTTAAACATACGAGGTCTGCTCGGTTATTAGGCAGCTTCTTTTCTTCAGAAATGAGACCTAACAGACTCTGAAGGTCAAAAACTATAAACCGTCTTTCAGAGAGATGCAGCTAGGGCTGGGCGATATGTCCTCAAATCAATATCACAATATATCGATCAGTTCACCTCGATAACGATAAATGGACGATAACTACTCCACTATCTGCTCACCCCCTCCCACATTAACTTTGTCTACTCCAGCCGCTCCAACTTTCTCTCCGTCCTCCATCTCCTCACCTGTCTTTCCCTCTTTGTTACAGACTGGATGGGGTGGAGTCACGTCTCTGATGTAGGACAGCGTCTTAAAGGGACATGAGACCATAGCCTACCTACACACATCCAAAAACAACTTTGATTTATTAATTTTCTTGACACAGAATAAACCGATATGAGCAACATGATGTTGGATATTGTCAATTTCAGTATCGGTAAATTTTCCGTTTATCGCCCAGCCCTAGTCAGACGCTCCCCTCACTGATATCTGTCATTAATTTTGCATGTCTTAAAAAATGATGCATCACAAAAGTAACCAATGAGGTTATCACGGCAGAAAGAAGACGCTAAAATGAAGAAGGCTAGCTAACTGACTGTAAAATCCACTCGCTTCGTGAGACCGACAGCTTCTCCGTTATAAACTCTGAAATTGTTTCTGCAAAATTGAGGATTTTTTTACTCCTATAGAGAAGATCAGGGAAAATAAGTGATGGTTTATCAATTTTTTGTCACAGAATATAGCGATATGGGCAAAATGATGTTGGTTATTATCTTTAATTTCTGTATTTCGTTTTGTTGCAAATAACCAAAAAGCGTCATCAGAAACTTGTCGAGATAAAAAGACGCCAATGACCTGCGACAGGTTTGAGAAGAATCAAACCTGAACAGGAACTCTTCATCCTCCAGTGCCGTCGCAATCCAGAAAATCACAACCTACCCGGAGAGTCCAGAAGAACAAAACTTAATTTTCTTCACACAGAGGTGAAGGACAGATCTGCATCTTTCAAAGAGACCATAATCTTTATTTGCATTATAATTATTTTATTATTGTGACTTTCAAAGATGAAGAAATGATATTTTAGTTTCTCTTGAAGTCGCCCCGTACGCACAGATCTTCACTTTCACCTCCTCAAATATTCAGGTTTGGGGTTTAAGGACATTCTGGATTAGACCAATCGCACTGTTGTCATTAGATACTAAAACTAATCCTTTAAGAGTGAAACTTTACGAATCATTATGTAAACATGCATGTATGTTTGGTTAAAGATTACTGACGCTCACTAAAAACAAACATCCCAGTCGGTTTAACGAATATTTCAGTTTAACGAGGTTTACTAAACTCAGCTGAAGACCGGATCACACGGTCCCCGATAAAGATCCTCAGTGACGTCTTTGTTCGGAGGTCATGTTTGGAAACCTTGAGTTTGTTTGTGAAGTGAGCAAACAGGCGAAAAAAGGCCAAACTGAAAGAAAGAGAGGAACTCGGTTTTAAAAGAACGTGTTTTTGATTTTTCAGCGAGCTCATTTTTCTCCTTTTCTTCTTTAGTCTGAAATTTTTGTTTTTTTTTTCCCACTAAATTCTTGTTCTTGAGAGAAGAGCTGTGAAAAAAAGCTCCACAGGGCAAAGATCGCTCTGCTCTTTATCCGATGAAATTTGTGTTCGTTCTGTTTTTCTGTGTTCATTTTAGGAGCAAACCCAAAGCTGCTTTTCTCACTCGGTCAGAATCAGAAGTTTACAGAAACAGAAGTTTGCATCATTCCTGTCATAAACGTGTGTGTTTGTTTGTGTGTTTGTTTGATGCATGCAGGTAACGGCGAGCAGGGGAAGCCGTTTCCTCTGACAGACGCGGACAGAGTCGCCCAGGCCTACAGGGAGAACGGATTTAATATTTACGTCAGCGATCGGATCTCTCTGAACCGCTCCGTCCCCGATATCAGACATCCAAAGTAAGTGCAGCGAGTTCATCTGTGTCCTGAAGGTGTGAAACCGCTAATGACCAAAAATATTCTGATTAAAACGCCAAATTTTGTAACAATAACAAAGGATCTGAGCAGAAATCGAACTGGATCTGGTTTCCTAATTTCAGGTTGTTTCAGGATGTTTATGAAGTGAAAAACTTCCCTTTAAGGTAGGATGTGTCGAAATGAGAATATATATTTTAAAACATGCAGCAGTCAGTCTTTTCTCAGTGCAGCTCTGAATCGATACGACGATACTTAACGGTACGATACTGAACATGTGCGACCAAATACGGTTAATTTTAGGACTTAATTTTAGAATTTTAGATTTTCTGTAAAAACCCTGAACTACTGACCGTGCTACTCTCATGCACAAGTCAAAGAACCTGAAGTGGAGAGTCCACAGTTCGGTCTGTGGACCTGCTCAGATTTATACAAATATAAAATCTTCAAAAGTGAAAAAACTGAGTTTTTAATAAACTCTAGATTTCAAAGTGAAACAATCACACATTTTAAAAGTTAGTGAGCGCTCGCAAGTGATGAGAAGATCAGTTCTTTTGACTGAATCTTTAGAATCCGTTCATTAAAAGGATTCGTTCAAAAGATTCGTTCACTAAATCAGTCAGTGCTTTGGAGCCCCGTCGTGCCGCTGCAGTACACCAGTGAGCGACACAGCGGTGAGTTCGTTCATTGACATTCACTGACTGTTTATTTTCAACGAAACATTCATGAACGACACAACACTAGCACTTGCTGTCTGCATGTCAGAGTTCTGCAGGGACATATGAAGCTGCTGTCTACCACACTGGAGCGACTAAAAATCTGCTTTATTCGTATTTCCTATGAACGAAGAAAAAGACTTGTTGGCTTTTCGTCGTCCATCTTTTCTGCAGAAAGATAACCGCTCTTCACCTCCATCTCTGTTTCCCACGATCACTCACTGAATACTTAAATATTAATAAGCTGTCATCATCTGTCTTTGACGTCTTCCTGTAAATCAGATTTTGAGTTTTTGCATCATGGTGTTGATTTTTTTTTTAATCTCTTCTCAATCTTCCGATAATTTCATCGACTTTGATGAAAATAAAAAAAGGTCTCCAGTAAAAACGTCTTTTTCTCTCCCTCCAAAAATCCATTTTCTTTGTTGGTTCGGTGTGAGTCGGGGGCAGGAGTGAACGGGTCTCAGAAGGCCGAGAGTCTGCAGGTTCTCATTCCAGCCAAAGACTGCAGCAGCAGCAGCAGCAGCAGCTTATTTCACAGATTGGCACTCCATCAAGTGCGGAGCAGAAATGAATCACCTGGTGCACTCTTTGGCCGGACTGAAAAAAGACTCCCAGCCCTCGGTGGCAGATGGTTGTTTTTTCTCCAAAAGAAAAGGTTGACTCTTGGACGAGAGGCCGGCCTGAGAGCAGGAGCGACGGAGGGAATCTAGGAGAGATAAACGGACGCTGCTCTGTTTTCTCCCGCTTTGAACAGTTACTGTATTATCTCTGCTGCTGAAATGTGGTTTCTGATTTTATTCATGATTTTGAGCCGACCGTCAGATTTAGTTTGGGTCTAATTCAATTCAGCAGAGGGAGTCCTGACTCTGAACAGAACAGCTGCAAGAATCGAATCATGAGGCTGGAGAGTAAAAACGGTCCAAAAGAAGTTAATCTGCAGCAGAAATCCCCGAACAGAACAAACACAGAACCAGAACATGTGAGGAGAGTAACGGAGGAGATCCGTTTTATAAACCATTCAGACTTTTTCAGTCTTTAAAACATCAAGAATCAGTTTTATATTATAATAACAGACCAACGTCCTCGTAAAGTCTGAACTCATAAACACTCGTTCTTGTTTGTGACGTCTGCAGCCTCTTGGTCACACCGTCCTTTAGCTTTTCAGACATGTGCACACCTGCTCTCCTTTAGGACATATCAGGTTAATATCTGCATTAATAAAAGAGTTTTCTCCATGATGGATAACCGAGTTCAGAACAGACTGACCAACAGGCTGTCAGGGTTTGAAGTAGGGCTGAACGATTTTGACCAAAAATAAAATCCAGATTTTTCTCTCTGAAAACTCGATTTTCGATTTTTTATTCAGTGACAACTTCACCAAACTTCACGTTAATAAAAAGTTTTTCTATCATCTCTCAAAACCAAACCACTGAAACGATGTAGTGCATATGCCAAGCCAGTAAGTGGCGCTGTAATGATCGTTTCCAGAGATGCAGATAGACATCCACACGGTAATGAAATGGTCGTCGTTTACAGATTTATTCACTCTCTGACCCGTTTTCAAAAAGTACCGTTTACAGTCACCTGAAACGCTGATACGACAAAAAAGTTTTGCGTTTCCTCCTGAATTAGTTACCATGGTGACGGGTTGTTGCTGCCTTCAGACAGACTTTGCAGCGGGGAGTGGTTTACTCTTCATCTGAAACTGTGAAGTCGTACCAATTCAACACGACTGACTCGCTCTTGACCTATTTAACCACGAAATTATCGTCTTCTTTCGCAAACGCCATGTTTGTTTACACTGGTGTGTGTGGGAACTGGGGAACCTACGGCGGCCTGGAGGCGCGAGACAAGATAGAGAGGAAAATTAATTTGATGATGTTACATTTTTTACCATCGTCAAAATCAAATAATCTGATTACGACTTAAAATCGATTAATCGTTCAGCCCTAATATCCTCCGTTTTTAACATCATATTTTTTCTAACGACTGTTTGGTCCAAATATCCGTCAAACTAAAAACCGTATGATCCGCTCAGCTCCACCTCCTCCTCGGTTTCTACTTCCCCTTCTCTCCACTCTGGATCAATTCCTGCTCATTACCCTGTTGAGCGCTGATTGGAACAATTGTTCCAATTATCAAGCTGCCCGATCTATTCACAGGGGAGATGTAGCTTCACACTGACAGGAGCTGATTACACTCTCGGCACAACAGGCATGTTCTCATAAACTTGTTCTTGACTGCAATTATCAGTGTCATTGACGATCCCCCTCGAGCCAAAGGTGTGAAGAAGTGATGATGGATTTTTCTTCTTCTCCTCTGGTGAACTGGAGCCGCTTGGGTTTGGACTGGAGTCAGGTTTGAGACCACTGTGGTGAATCTAGGATAGATATTCAAGCTCATAAATGTCAGGATACATCGGTCAGGAAGCCGGTGACCCTGTTTGCACACTAAGTGGCCTGTTGTCACTAAACCCACCGTGACGGAGGGTTTCTGAGGGACCAGGATGATGATGATGATGGGAGTGTTTGTAGCAGGAGGGGACTTCAGGGATCTGTTCAAGATCTGAGTGAAGATGGGGGCCAGCTGGTGGGTGTAGACCAGGCATGTCCAAACTACTCCACAAAGGTCCGAGTGGCTGCAGGTTTTCCTTCCAACTGAGCAGCAGCACACCAGACTTCAGACCGCTGATTGGTCAGACTGCGCGCTCTTGATTGGAAGAAAAACCGTCCGTTAACCCTTAGAACTCCCGCCTATATTTTGCTATTTTTGGTCCGTCCGTCTGTCTGTTTTTTTGTTTTTTTTTGTAAAAATCTCTGTAACAACTCAAACCATCAAAGTCAACCAAAAAAAAAAAAAAAACGGAAATTGATCCCAACAGTTTTTTGCTCAAAAAACACATAAATCTACAGTGACCGAGCCTTTTGTCACCTGCACATCATTCTCTCAAGTCTTGGCTATCAGGAGAAGAAATATTGGGATTGGAACAAACACACAACAGAAACTGTTGACATATTTACACTCATTCTTCCAGGTGTTTTTGACTATTTACAGTTGTTTCTGCCACTCCTGGGATGAGACAGAGGACCACATCATAGTGCTCAGAATCTCTTCTCTGCTTGTTTCCAAACATTGAGGACCATTATTTCTGATTTTACAGACAAGCAGGGAACTTTCTCCTCTCTTGTTGATCTTTGGCTTCCTCTTATTGGACACTACAGTCAAGGGAACGATAGAAGAAGAATATGAGACCATTGCAATATGATAAATAATCATGTTCTCACTGCGGATTTACCATCAAACGTCTCTGATCAAACACCTATTTTTGTGTCTGGATTGTAAACCTTGTGGCAGGTGTAGAAATGTCTGGAAACCCTCGATAGATCGCCAAAAGGGTAAACTTTTAAACACTTTTTATCCTGTAGAGATAGACGGTATAGTTCCTGTGAAACTGTAAACAATATTCATGGTGTCACGTGGGGTCGCCGGTGATCCAGCAGCGTTCTAAGTGTTAAAGGGTGTAGCAGTGGTCCAGAGTGTTGGTGTCTGTGCTCCGATAAATCACTTACTGAGAGTCTTAGTCAGGGAAAAAGTCTGTTTGTTTTCTTCAGCGGCTCGTTCGTTATCATGTTCTGTGTTAAAACATGACATGAGGGAATTATCAGTAAAAGCCCACAGTGATAACATCTGTCTGAGTCTGCAGGTTTCCACAGTCCTCAGTGGGCTGTTTCATAGATAAATGTTTTTTCTTTAACATCCGCAGACCTGCAGACTCACAGGTCGTACTCTCCTACAGCTTCTCTTTGAACTCGCTGTGATGAAAATTGACTCATTTATACACCGACCAATCAGAGGCGACCAAAATCTACCAGGACAGGCTGATATCCAAACAGTCCAGGTCTTAGAAAGTCCTCTACCAGACCTGACAGAATGCTAACTCACCAGCTACACCTGACTCCTCTGGGTTCGGGTGGATGAGGACAGCAGGTGAGTCTCTGTGATTGGTCCAAGTGACAGCAGAGTGACGGCTGTCCGACAACCAGGGGCCACATCAATCCTCTTTGAGCCCAGACCCCCCAACAGCCTTCACTCTCCCTCCGTCTGAACGACACAATAGAGAGAGAGGCAGAGATAATGACGCTCCCTACAGATTCCTCCCTGACTCCTCCGAACAGGGAGGGGGTTAAATAAAGGGAGGAAGGATACGAGGGCGAGGGAGCAGGGAGCACGCTTCATTACGTCGTATTAAAACGAGGAACACGATGTTCAGGCTGTGAGAGCGCGAGACGAGAAACACAAGGAGAAAAAAAACAAACAGGAAAGAGTTTTTCCTCTTTACTGTCAACGAGCGTCAACATGACATCAGTGCGTTTACGTGCACAGATTAATCGGACTGAGCTCATAATTTGTTTTTTTTTCGCCAAGTCTAACTTCTCTCCTTGTCATCGTTTACATGCAGCTGACAAAAATTAATATTTAACGTGTCCTCCTCCCCAACACTAGGGGGCGATATGGGTCTTCTCAGTGGCGCTGTTTCCGACCCCATACAACCATCATGTAGGACGTTTTTGTCCTCCATGATGGACGCGTTATTTTTTCTGCAGATGAGACGCACGCTACTCCTCTGGTGTTTTTGTTCCGGAGGCGTGGCGCACTCACATGCATTGTCTGATTATTCTCCAACTACGCTGGTTACATGGGAGAGAAAATCGAACTCCAATCACATCATCTGAGTGTCTTAATCGGAGTTTTCCGATCCAATCAGAGTTCTCAAACTCCGATTATAGTCGGACTAAGGTGTTTACATGCAATCCAGTTGTCCGGTCTTAATCAGCGTAAGGCAATAATTCTGTTTTCTCAAGTGTCGTGTAAACGTACTGACTGACTGACTGTGCCCCCTTATGGGTGGAAGACCCAAACCATGGAACAATGGAAACAAATTCAGGAGTAAACACTAAAGTTTTTTGTCTGATCGATAGACTGTATATACTACGGACAACTTGGTTCCCCCTATCGCCTGTATACGGATTTGAAGCCAATAAGCTCTCAGTATTACAGACTAACCTCCATGTTTGCCTTACTATATCTATATCCATCTACATCTACATCTATATCTATATCTATATCTGTATTTGTCTCCTCGTGTCTGCAGCTGTAAAAAGAAGCTCTACGCAGAGAAGCTCCCCAACACCAGCATCATCATCCCGTTTCACAACGAGGGCTGGTCGTCTCTGCTGAGGACGGTCCACAGCGTGCTCAACCGCTCTCCTCCGCAGCTCATCGCAGAGATCATCCTGGTGGATGACTTCAGCGACAAAGGTACCGAGGACACACACTCACACTCTCCCACCTGTTCACACACACACAGATAGACGAGCGCTGAGTCACGTGTTTGTAAGTGTTAAAACACTTCAGAAGGGAGTCTGATCCCAGCACAGGTCTGCTTTTGTTCATCATAAATAAAAAACAAACACAGAGAGTAAAAACACAGACACACCGTGGAGTCTGTGGTTCTGGGACGAATCACCGCGGCCCAGTTTGACTTTCACCACCCAGACCAGAGAGCAGCCGGCAGTGCTGAGCCCACAGATCTGCTTTTAAGTGAGAGTGTGCATGTGTGGATCTATCGCATATAGAAGGAATAAAAGATGGACATGAGCAGCAACATCACCCGCTGGTTTCTGCAGAGGCATCATGGAGCCCAGAGATGGTGTTGGCCTGGTTAGAGACGCTTAGTCATAGAAAGTTGAGTAGATGAAGAGAATGCAAAATGTACTTTTCTGTGGCGTTTGCTCGGGGAAAGGAGCGGGAAGACTCGAGGAATGATGTTGAAAAAGGGTCGCTCTCGTGCCGACTGAAAGAGCAGAAGTTAGCGAGCGTGAAAGGCGTGATACGAGTAGGGATGAGAATCGATTACGGTTCTTTTTTAGAACCAGTTCCCAGTGATTCGATTTCTAAGACTTGTCTGTCTGCCTCCTTCTGCTTATCGGTTCCTCTTACGTCTCTTCAGAACTTTCTAGCTTTTGATGCGACACCACGCTAGAACTTTCTAGCATGGCGTCGCATCAAAAGCAATCCAGAGTTTGACTGTATTTCACGCGAAAAGATGATGTCGAAGATACTAGCGACACCAAGAGGGGAAATACTTCCGATATGTGGAAACGTTTGTCCACCCAGCATGCAATTAATTTGCGGAAGTGTAACGTGTTTGATACGCTATTTACTGAAGGCGAGATTGGTAAAGGCAAAAGCAGGAGCTAACATCTCAACGTCTTATTTCTCACTCAATGAGAATCGATAAGGAATCGTATCGATAAGCCGTATCGGCAAAAGAATCGCAATCGAAAAACTCTTAACCATTCCCATCCTTAGATACGAGGAAGAGTCATCTGCTTCTGCTGACTTTATTGATGGAAATAAACATTTAAACGACGTCGTAAACAGCGTCAAAACGTCCCTCTAAATCTATAATTTTATCATGTTTGTTTGATTATCTTTGAAGAGCGCTCCTCAACCATCCGTCAGATTTGTGTCCTTTTGATGGAAAATAATCCACAGTCCGTCCCCTTCATGTGATAATGCTCGTGTTTGAAGCCGCAGGCTGCGGTGACCTCCGAGCAGATGGCGATGACGAGGGCGGGCTGTGACCCGTGAGTGTCAGAGAGGTTAGTGAGAGCTGCTGTGGTTAATATTCTCACAGGCAGCTTAATCAGTCTCAGCTCTGAACCTTTACATTATAAATCCGAGGCCAAGTGCAATATCATCAGCGGGGTCTGAGCCGAGGAGAGAACAAGATATTTATCATGAAGCTCAGCCCATCGTCACTGAGGCATAATTTCCTGCTCACTTTCCCATTTCCTTCGATATTAAACTGTGCTCTAAAAATATCTGAAGAAAGAGAGAAAATGAAGAGATCTTTTTATTGGCCCTTCTGCACGACTGAGTCTGTTATTGTTTTTGTTGTTGGAGGTTTTTAAGGACACAGGAGGTCAAACTCACACGCTCACAAACATCACAATCATCGGCTGGTTTAACTGATTAATGATTTTTATTTTTTAATCATCATAGGCTTAAAGTGCTGTCACATGTGTTGTCTGAGCTGTAATGCAGCCTCCTGCCACTAGGTGGGGCTGTAGCTCTGGTTGATATCTGCAAGGGATGAAAATCAACACCCGGTTCTTTTTTAAAACCGATTCCCAGTGATTCGATTTCTAAGAATTGTTTGTCTGCCTCCTAAACGATTCTGCTTAGCGGTTCCTCTTACGCGCGATGACGTCGTGTGCGTGAAAAGTGTGTTTTGGTTCAGAACTTTACAGCATGGCGTCACGGCTAAAGCGCTTTTCTGGTCCAAGTTTGATCAGTTGGTCCTCCTGTCGGTGTGAAGAGCAGTAGCCTACAGTATATCTACAGTATATATATATTTTATAACTTCATAAAAAATTTTAAAAATTGGCCAACTAATCGGTAATCAGATTTTTCCCCCCTAATAATCTGTATCGGCATCGGCCCCAAAAAATCTATATCGGTCTGGCCGTAGTTTTTAGATATCGCTCTTAGTTTTCACACAGGATTAAAACACAGGTATCCTCTGTGACTGTTTCAAAGGTTCATCTCATGTGATTCAGGTTTTTACAGAGTCGTTTTAAAGATGTTAAAAACAAGTCCCCGCTAAAAGCCCCGCCTCCAGATTTAATGTTGGATTTCAAGACTTTGTCCGTCTGAGAATAAAACAGCATTTTTAAAGGGTTTTATTCTTCTGTTTATGTCTGTAAAAGATGATGAATGAATGAATCCTGGTCGTCTGACATCTGAGTTAGAGCTGAGCAGATCTATGTTTGACCCCAGATCGATCATTAAGAGCAGGTTTAATAAAACCATGTCATTCTGTGTCGTAGAGGCAGAGATGTTCCTGCATCATTAGTTTCCCTCCTGATACCGATCTCACAGCTGGACTTGAGTATTGGCTGATGCTCGACAGAGACATCCACATGTCCAGATCTGATGATAAACGGGGGGATATTGTTTCACAGCGCCTCGTTCAGCCGTTAAATCAATCATTCACTCGTGTTTGTGCTTCTTTTACAATGTTTGAAGGATTATTATCAGCTGTTTACGTCGCAGCAGTTGGTAAAACCGCCGTACTGGTTAGCTTCCTGTTATCAGCTGTTGTGCCGTGAATGATTGGACCTGTGGCGTAAAGGTGCGAGGCGCAGACGCTCGTTTCTGTCGACCTCCTCAGTCACTGTTGTTGATGCTGATGAACAGTCTCTCTCTCTCTCTCTCTCTCTCTGGGTAATTGACGCCCTGCTCCATTAATTAATGCTGTTTCCTTTCCTACCTCACAGCCAACATGAGGAAGATAAACTATTGATGAGATGCTTTCAGAGCGCAGTTATATTTTCTGGGGTGCTAATTAGTACGGAGTCTCTGTGTAGTGTAATTATAGCCTCGCTGCAGAGACACAGCCTCCTCTCCTTTTTCTAAAGTCATAATTAATACAACATTTCATATTTGACTCAAAGGATACCTGATGATTTATATTTGTCTGTGAGCTCTGCTCCTCCAGTTTACTTTGTCTTCTGTGTTCACGCTGCAAACTTTCCTCCCCGGGTCCAGGAGCGTCCCTGGTGGGTTGTGGGCTGTTTTACCTTTTCATAATAACAACATCGGTGTTGTGAAGGTGGGAGACGGTGCTAAAGATGTGTTTTCAGGTGAACAGAGAAGAAGAGGACGCAGTCTGCCAGGGAGGGTTGTGTGGTGAGGATCATCAGGTTCGAGGCAGGGGTCAGATAGCTTTTCTGGGGAGTCTCTGTATACGTTTCCTCCCTGCTGTGCTCCACTTCTCCATTTCTTTTCAGGTTAAGAACTTCTCTGCACTCCAGCAACAACTTCAGAGTTTTATCTGTTTTCAACACAAAGTTGTAAAAGAACAAATCTGCATGCAGACTAAACGCATTGATTATCTGTCTGCTTCAGTCTAATGAACCCTCTGGATCCTGGCAGGCATGACGTTATCGGTAAAATATTGGTATGTACGGATGATAAGGTGAAATATTCATTGTAGAACAGGCAGGTTTATACAAGAAAATGATGGACTTGGAATGAGATCAGATTTCATATTGATATCTGTATCGGTACTGATATCAGTGTCTGTATCAGTACTGATATTAGTGTCTGTGTCAGTATTGATATCATTGTTGATGGTATTGGTCTTGGTAGTGATGTATCAGTATTGGTATCTGTGTGTGTATCAGTATTAATATCAGTGTCTGTATCAGTATTGGTATTGATATTGTGTGATATTGCTATGGGTATTAGTATCCATATTGATAGCAGTATTGGAAGCAGTGTGTATCGGTATTGATATCAACATTGTTGATGGTATTGGTGTTGGTAGTGATGTATCAGTATTGGTATCAGTGTCTGTATCAGTATTGGTATCAGTATCTGTATCAGCATTGATATTGGTATTGTATTGTGTGTCATTGCTTTGGGCATTAGTATCCATATTAATCGCAGTATTGGTATCAATGTCTGTATCAGTATTTAGATCGACATTGTTCATGATATTGGTATTGGTAGTGATGTATCAGCATTGGGAACAGTATTGGTATTGGTATCAGTCTACAGGTATTTATATTGGTATTGACTTATCAGTACTGCTGATGGAACTGACAATGATATTGGTATTGGCCTGTTTATCAGCATTAATATCAGTGTTGGTACTGGTTTTTGTATCAGTATTGGTATTGATATCAGTCTCTGTGTTGATATCAGTATTGGTAAGGCTTTCTGTATTGGTATGAATATCAGTATTGATTACAGTATTAGTATTGGCATTGTTAACAGGATCGCCATGGTGATAGTATTTATATTGGTATCAGTCTCTGTATTGATATCAGTATTCGTATATTGGTATGGATATCTGTGTTGATATGAATATTGGTTATGAGACTGGTTTAATTTAATTTTAATGAGAAGCTGCTCCTGAGACGGATGGGTTAATTTAATGTTACGTGAGCGTTTCTGCTATTTAAAAGAAAACTGTGAACGTCATTTTTACTGTTGACTTCAGTGTGGCTGAAAAAATGCTTCAGCAAACAAAGGAGAAAAGAAAAGCTGTGTGGGGTTTGAGAACAGATGTCTCCAGCACTTCCACATATGCTGAAGTAACATAACACAAACACACAATCTAAGTAGTTATTTTGAAAAGGATAATGTGATGTTATTGCCAAATAATACAGCCTGTTAGCAGAGAGTGGCTTCACACACTGTTCTGCACAATCTGCTCAGTTGGAGAACAACACTTGGAGAAAATCTCACCTGTGATCTCAGAGCGGTGATTACAATTTTCTCTTCCACCCACGAGTGTGGAAGGACTGAAATTACAACCTGCAGTATTAACGCTGGTGGGTTTTTTCACCTCCTGTCTCATCATTAATGTAAAATCATCTTTATTTACTCTCTTTACCTCGCCTCTGTCTCCCTCCCCCACACCGACCTCTGCTCATCCAGGCAGAACTCTGACTCATGGATATCATGCAAACACTGAAACCGGCTGTTTTTACCTCCTTCATTTCCTCTCCACACTGTTTATCTCTATTTTCGTTCTTCCTCTCTTCTTGCTGTCCTTCCTGTTTTTTTCTTCTTTTCCTATCATCCTCATCTCTTTGTCAGTTTTTTTTATGTCTTTATCGCCTCACTCTCTGTTCTGACGTCTGTGCTGTTTTATGACCTGATATAACTTCTTGTTTTTTCTATGCAAGTTTTGAATTTAGTTGGTGTTTTCTCTTTCTTTGTCTGTGATTTAAACTTCTATTCTTTTCGTCATTTCTTTATGTTTTCCCTAAACTACAGTTCAGCTAATATTTAGTTTTAACCCACCAATCAAAACCAGTCAGGCCGACCAGAAAACGCTCACCAAGTGTCGCATGCTGAAGTGCATTTAGCAGCGATTTGCGCCACATGTGACTTTACCTATAGCAAAAGAAGTCGCAATAGGGCTGAGCGATAAACCGAAAATTTACCAATACCAAAATTTACAACAATAACCTACGTCATTTTGCCCGTATCGGTATATTCCGTGTCAAAAAACAAAAAAATCAAAGTTGTTTTTGGATGTGTGTAGGTAGGCTATGGTCTCATGTCCCTTGGATTAGCTAGGTTATGATGAGAGCGCCCCCTGCTGGATGGGGTTCAAACAGTTTGAATATAAAGTAGAGTTTTACTGAAGGTTGAGGTTTATTTACCAAACCCTGACTACAGAACAGTCCTAGTCTGGTTAGTCTTGATTTATCAGAGCGTGTAAACGGAGTGAATAGTCGGGCCTACACTGTCTCTTCTCTTCTTAAAGTCTCGTCTGCTGCCTTCTGCCCACATCCATACTGTATGTGGGTGTAGCTGCAGGTATGAGATCAACAAAGCTCTTAATCGTTGCCCTGACAGACCCGTCAGCTGCAGTGACTGCTGGGATTGTTGGCTGTCATGTTACTGACCCAACTTCTGCTCTCCAGCTAATCTCTGCCGCTATTGACTTTACTCAGTGGAAGACTGTCGGCGGCGGTAAATGTCGCTGTCAGCCTCTCAATCAAAGAGCAAAGGTTAGACTTTTCTCTCTCTCTGTGTTCCCGCTGACGGTCAGCAGTCATAGAGGTGGAGATCCATCACAGGGGGGGGAGGTAAAGGCTCCACGTTTCTTCTACAGTTTAAAATGAAACCTCCTCTGGATTTAGAGAACACCATCAGATCAGTTGGAGTGGGTCTTCTACGCTCCACAAACCAGCTTCACTTCTGTAGTCTCCTATTAAAGGGTCTATGGTAGGGCTGGGCGATATGGGAAAAAGTTTAACACAATATATTTTTTTCATTTTTCATGTCATGTCAATACCGATATATATCACGATATAAAAATGAAATTTATCAGTGTTTATTGGTAGTATGTCTTTTGCAATACAATAATCTCCTGCATCTGTGAGGTCTTTGTGTCTCTGACGTTTTGTCGTAAGGCGTTGTGCCGTTAAAGTGCTATGGTTGGGTGTAGCTGCTGTTTGCTACGACGCAGTTGTTTGTTACTTAGTGCTAATTCAGCACATGATTGGTTCAGTGTGAAGTAGATCCGGAGAAACTCACCTTTTTATTGGAGTGGGAGAAAAGGCAATTCACATGTGTCGTGATTTTTTGTTTTATAATTTTAAATCGATTTTTATGTTCAAAAATCTTTTTTTTTTTTCAAATTTAAGAATATATCTTAAAAACTGACGTACATGTGATGTGTATTTGGGGACATATGGTTCCTGGAACTGTCAGTAGACAATCATAATCATTAACTGTTTCACTGTAGTTAAAAATACAGACTCAATATCAAGAAATGTCCTAGAAACGCAATTTAAATCAAATTGGCATCCAAAAAATCGTAGAAGAATGCCGACTACTGAAAAAGCATATTGACCATGTTTTATATTCATATTGAGGGAAATTAATTTTAGATATATATCGTTATCGTTTTATTGCCCAACACTAGTCTACGGTGAAAATTGTCCACAGATACAGTCTTGTTTTTTTGCTGATTGTTGGTCTGATTAGGACAAGCCTCTGATTGTGGACCAGCACCAGGAACTGGGCTGGGACTCACTGTGAAACCTACGTCACATTATTCATGAGTGGAAAGGAAGTGTCCATGAGTCTTAGCGTCTGTTTGAGAGGTCAGGATGAGAGGGCACAGCGCAGATCTGTGCAGCTGAGGGTGAAGATACCAACAGCCCATCTTAGAAGTCTGATGCAGAACATGAGGGAACTGCACTGAACCTGTTGAATGCAGGGTGTTGGTTTGTGAGTTGTGCGATATTTATTGTCGTCACTCGCCTCCTGTTTATATTCTGAATCCTGAACAGAAAATTCATGTTACTGCATTTATTTGACCGTTTATCAGCAGATTTCCAAAAACCGTCCTGAGTAGAACTCAAAGAAATCTTTCGGTTTGGAGAATATTTTGTCTCCTCAAAGACAGCTCCATATTTCCTCCTCATATCTCCTCCTCTGGCACCTTGTTGGGTTTGGATGTCTTCATCGCAGAGTTTCATTAAAGCGGGGACAGCGCCAGCCCAGATGTATCCATCATGGTTAACTGTGCCGTGTGACGGAGACAATCCTTCTCTGCAGGATCGCTGAGCGGCTCTGCAGCCTCACCTCTCGCCACGGAGAGCTGTCACTGTCCGCAGATTGATCGTCCAATTAGTCAGTCACTGTCCGGTCCCTGACGGGGTCAATTAGACAAATAGAAGCTTTTCAAAAATAGAAAGTCCAATAACACACACACACACACACGCACACACACGAGTCTTTTATTACGTGAATGGATTTTTTTTTCTAGGCTGCAATTATTCCAATTTTTCATGCAATTTGGGTTGATGTGTTTTTTTCAGCGTGAGTCATCGTGTTTTCTCTGCAGGAAAAATTAAATGGAGGCAATTGATTATGAGCGATCGAGGCACAAAAGAAAAACTGGTAATAATTACGGGGGGAATGAAATGTGAGAGAGGCGTCTGTCATCCAGACTGTAGATTTAAAGACTGAATACATTAACCGATAAAACGTGCGATTATAGGGAAGGGTTTGGAGCATGCACAGGTAAACATAAGTCATCGGTGTCGTTCTGAAGTGAGAAGAAGAGCTGCACACGTGTTGATACCTGAACCCTGATTATTAAATACTTCTCTGCTGTTAACAACTTTAATGTAAATGTGCTGCACGGCTGTTTCAGACTTTAGAGTCACTAACGCTGACGGAGATCTCCGAGGTCGTCTTCAGGAATACTGACAGGCTGAATAACCAGCGCTGACCTCTTTGAAATTTGGCTGAAGAACAAGTCCTGATGGATGGACTCGCTGGCATGCAGTAAATCCACTTAAAGGGTGGTGACCGTGTTTTTGAAACCGAGCCCTGGTTTTTATGAGAAGGGTTTATTCATGGAAAATTGGCTCGGAGAGTTTTGGTAAAAGCTTGATGAGATTATACGTTAACTGCTGCAGATGAACTATGAAAGATAAACTCACCGGGTCGAGAACATTTACTCTGAGAGCTCGAGTTTGTCTCTGCAGGGATCAGGTCATGATTTAAAGAGAAAGTAAGAGAAAAACAGGAGAGGATGGTTTAGTTAAATTCACCAAATTCTACGACCTCAACTGCAGGGATTTTCGCTGTACGCCAATTCCCACTGGATCCGTTCGTTAGGCGGATTTCGTGGCGGATTACGGACAGCGGGAATCATGAGAACTCACAAGAACCTGCGGATTTACGAGCAATCGCCCGATAAGTTGTCTCTACAAAGACAGACACATAGACATATCAGCAGTAGATTGTGTCCTTCCAGAGGAGGAAATCTACTTCTAGACTTCTAGAATCAGCATCTCCTCATCCATGGTGTCATCGGGGTGAAATGACGTCTAAAAACCTTTCGAAATTTTTAAAAAGAAGCCGGATGTTTTATTTTGTGTCTGTGCCCGACTTCCTTTCCAGCACGGGTTAATCTGTGCTGAATTTATCCGCCATGCTCCGGCGTCCAGAAAAAATAGAACTCTTGAGATCAGCTGAGGAGTCCGGCGATCCGCAGAGGAACGGAAAGAAGTCGGTGTAAATTGACACGTTAACTTGAATGGTTACGATCAGCTACGATCGGAGGATACGACCTTTTAGGAGACGATCAGGATGAAGGTGGAAATTGGGGACAACTCTTGAGTTTTTGCTCAAAGCCTTTGTTGTCTCAGACTCGAGCACAGCCTCATTTCAGCTTTAGCTCTTTAGCTCCGGCTCTGTTCTGTCCGGGTCTTTGCTGATGCTCTCCCTGCCCTGGATTTTATAAGAACAGCTACTGTCTCCTCAATAGACTCTGCTAACATACTGTTGCTCGCCAAAGTCGTCCTCCACAAGCTGCTCACCCCCTCCCACATTAACTTCGTCTACTTCACTCGCTCCAACTTTTGAACCGTCCTCCATCTCCTCACCTGTCTTTCCCTCTTTGTTACGGACTGGATGGGGCGGAGTCTTAAAAGGCTTAAAAGGACATGAGACCATAGCCTACCTACACACATCCAAAACCAACTTTGATTAATTTAGTTTTTTCACACCGAATATGAAAATGACACCAGTTATTGTGGCCAGTTCCAGTATCAGTAAATTTCTGCTTATCTCCCAGCCCTAGATCCAACAACATGCACAATAAAAACATGGTCCACAATGGTGTCAGGACTCAGAGAGAGAGAGAGAGAGGTGGAGATGGTTAAACTGAGCTGGAAACAGACGGACAGAAAACTGCAGTGGAGGAAACAGTTTAGTAAACACAGAGATCAGACGGAGAGAGTGAAACGGCGTCTACCTGCTAACCTGCCCGGCTACAGTCCATGATGAGCTTCATCTGTGTGAGGAGGGGAGGAGGGGAGGATGCTGAGGGGAGGTCAGCTTACTCTTCATTAGGCTGTAATTGAATTTCCTCAGCTCGTGCACGGAGGATGTTCAGCTCCGGCTCGCTCAGACTTCACAACCTCCCCGATACTTTCAAGGTTAGCTCAGCTAATGGGGCTGCGCTCTCCACGGATTCCTCCGCTCGCCATCTGTCAATCTGCATGTCTGAGCGTGTGGGAGCCCAGGTGAGCTCTCCATCATGTGATGCTGCTGGAATAGAGTCTGATCAGCGCTGCAGCAGACCACCTCTGAACCCGATAACTGCTGACACGTGTTCCAGTCGTCTCTCCGTGCATGACCTGAAGCTTCTCAGCTGTAGAGATCGGAAATATGGCGTCTCAGAAATCTGTCAGACGCAGTGTCTCATACATGTTTACATTCTACAGACACAGACTCCGCAAACATGATACGAGTCAGAACCTGAACGCAGCTGCTCCAAATTTATGTAGGATTAACAGCTAGGTGTGCCGACAAACTAGGGCTGCACGATAAATCGATTTCAAATCCTAGTCGGATTATTTGATTATGAAGATGTTAAAAAAATTAAAAATTAAATTTAAAAATTAAAAAAAAATTAAAATCCTCAAACTGATTTCCCTTTCTATTGTATCTATTGTATCCCCCCAAGAAAAATCTCGTCCAGCTAAAACGACCTTTATCCACATGCTCTGTACTCTTCTTCTGTCTTTTGTGCATTTCCTGTGCAGCGTTACAGCGCCACTTACTGTCTCACTAACATCATTTTCAGTGGTTTAATTTTAAAGTTGATTAAAAGACTTTTTATTATATTGAAGTTTTTTATTTTATTTTATTTCTGGTCAAAATCGTGCAGCTCTTCTTCAAACCCTGACAGTCAGTGTTGGTCGGTCTGTACTGAAGGAAACTCTTCTTTGAGGCAGAGAAGCAGTTTCATGTTGTTGTATTTGGATATTTTATTTTCTGGACTATTGTGAGGATCTTTAAAGTGTCTGCACCGAGTGTCCAAGTCTGCCTCTGCCGTTTTTCTCCACGTCGTCCTCTCTTTCTTCCAGAAAAGCCCAAACAGCCTCCAGCCCATGAACCATAAAAACTGAAAGCGGATAAAGATGAATTGGTATCCAAATAAAGTCACACCATGTTCCAACTTTTTGGCTGCAGCGTAGAAACTTATTTTTTTCTTTATTTGAAGTTTCTCTCCAACCGTGTGTGTGTTTGTGTGTGCTCCTCAGAAGGGTCAGGGTTTGTGTCGTTCTTCTTTGTGTGAAGCAGCAGAGACGTGTTTCATCATCATTTCTTCTTCGCTCCGTCCGTCCGTCTGTCTGTTTCTGGTTAAAACCTTCTCAGCTAATTTAGTTTCCTCTAATAAAGCTGCACTCCGAGGGCCGCGGGGGTAAAACGCGGTGGTCGATTTACACTCAGGAGGCAGCGCCGAGCAGCCGAGCACGTTACGGCGTTGTAGCTGGTGTTTATTTTTTTCCATCCTTTTTAATTGGAGTGTACTTTGGAGATGAGAGCTGCTCTCCTGGGAGGTTGACTTCATTAGCACCTGTAAGTGTCCAGGCGTGTTAGCGCGGCGAAGGAGGAGGAGATGGGGAGAGAAGAGCAGGCTGGGAAAGTTGTCTTTCATAAACGCTCCTTACAGGATTCCTCTTTCCTCCTTTTTTCCTTTTTTTTTCAGAGCAGACTTTAAAGAAATTGAATTGGCTTCGTTTAACGTAGCGCTGTTTTATTGTTTAATTGTAATTTCATCCCTGTTCGAACACGGAGACACGCAGACACCACTTCACAGAGCTCTTTTCTTCTGCCTTATTGCAGAAAAGCTGTTTTTGTTATGACTATTATTCGTCTTTGATTGGAGTTTAAATTTGGAATAGGATCTGCTCCCCGAGGAGCGTCATTAGCGTCCATAAATGTGGATGTAACCGGCGTCCTGCCAGCTTAATGAGGGCAATCTTAGCAGCGAAATAATCATAAATGCAAGTTAACCATTAGACGGCGGGGAAAAGGAGAGCGAAATGAACGATGATAATGGAAAAGGCCAATAAGAGCTCCAGCTAAAGACTCGTGGTTATTATGTTTATTTTCATGTCTGAACGCTCCTCTCTGGAGAGAAAAAAAGGAGACCTTCAAGCATGAAGAGAGGGGAGAGGGAGATAAAGAAATAAAGAGAAGTGCTGCTTTATTTATCATCATGTGTGTCGTTGTCATATCTGCTCCGTGGGTTTTTCTCCTGATCTGCAGAAACGTTCAGCTGTGATGAATTAGGAGTGTGAAAAAGAGATTAATCGCACACCGAGCTTCTCCATAGATCATCCTGTAACCTGTTAATTTTCTCTATTTCTCTTTTCTGCTTTTATTCTTCTCTCTTTTATTTACCACTTCTTTTCATGTTGTGTATTTAATACGTGTTTAAACACGTGTTTTCATGTAAAGACGCTATAATGACCTGTTTTATCTTAGCCTCAGAAGTCGTTCATTTCATTCAAAGACTGACTAATACATGTCGTTTATTCGCTGTGAGCAAACACGAGACTCCGCCCGCTGCCCGCTCGCTGGCTGGCTGTGTTTTGTTCGCCAAAGAGTCAAAGGCGCACTCTCACATGTACTGTCCGATCATACTCCGACTACGCTGGTTACATGGTAGAGAAAATCAGATTCTAATCTCATTATCTGGGTGTCTTAATCAGAGTTCTCAAACTCCGATTGCAGTCGGACTAAAGTGTTTACATGACCTTCAGTTGTCCGGTCTTAATCGGAATAAGGCGATAATTCGGTTTTCTCGAGTGTCGTGTAAACATACTGACAGTTAGTTGTTGTTTCTGCGCAGATACGATCAAAGTCTGACGTTGTCTTTGGGAACCGCGGACGCTCGGAGTCTGATCAGAAAAAGCTGCAGGTATCTGCCGTGGATCTTTCACCGTGGTCATCCCACACCCAACCTCACAGAACTGAACAACAGGTCCATCACACGCACAGCAAACTTTCCACAGCACAAGGCCCGCTTTAGGAGAAGCATGGTCCCTGCAGCTACAGACGCCCTGAAAATTCGTCCCGGTGAATAATCTGTCCTGTCGCCTCCTTGCTGCTTGTTGCCGACTGCTGTTGTCCGGGTGTTTGTCAGTAGTTGTCTGTTCTTTAAGGTCTGTCATATGTGATGTGCATTTTTGTCCTTTTATGTGATGTACAGTCAGTGAAGACAAATTTCCCCACAGGGACGAATAAATCTATCTATCTATCAATCAATCTTCTTCCGATGTCACATCCTGTCCAACAGGAAAAACTCGATCCTGAGTCCTGAGAATGTTGATTCAGCAGCTCTTGGATCGTTCAGGTTCGTCGGATCGTCTTCGTTTAATTTCAACGAGTACAGATGAGAAAGAGGCTTCTGTTTGTGGATGGGGAGGATGCTCGCATGCTTCAGTTGTGAGTCACTCACACAGACCTGAGATCAGCTGATATAATCCAGACTGATTGAATTTAATCTGAGTCACAGTTCCTGGAAACCGGGCGGAGTCTTGATGAACTCTTCTGGTCAGTCCTGTGATGCTCGTTTCTGTTGAACCTGAACGACGGGGTTCAAATCTTAGGCTGTATGACTTTGTGTTTTTAAATTCCTCTTTAATTTGTGATTAAAAAGAAAAAAGAAAACCTTATCTGGACTCAAAGTGAGCTGCAGCGTAGCATGTGTCAGCATCAGACACCGCTTTCATCGTTTTACGACGAGACTGCAGCGTGAACATCTGTGTTATATCTGTTTTACTCTTATCGCCGCCTCTGAAGCTGTTTCAGTATTTTATGTGAGGAGGAAGAGGAGGAAGAGGAGGAGGAGGAGGAGGAGGAGGAGGAAGAGGAGGAGGGCGCCTCCAGACCGGCTCATATCATCACAGACTCTCCCTTTATTTTTAAATGACGGTTGTAAAAAAAAACAAAATCAGCTTCAAATGTTTCCGAGGCCTGTGTGTGTGTGTGTGTGTGTGTGTGTGTGTGTGTGTGATGGAGTTCACAGGAGCAGCCGAATATTCTGCAGGAATAAATTAGCAGCTTGGCTCTTTGGTGCCAAGCCAAGACTTCTGGGAAGTAATCCAGCACCTTGGAAAGACAAAGATTTGGATGCCATATTGGATCCAATGTAATTTGAGGTTAATTGAATTGAAAATCTCCCTCCATTACTCATCTAACACACATATAAATAAATAACTCTGCAGCAGGGGGATGATTAACTGTTTTTACCACAGGAATATTATCCCTATTGGCTGTCGCAATTTTTAACTCCTCGTCCAGAAACCGATAAAAATAATCTTTCCACGACTTTCATCCCTGCAAATCAAAAGCGGGATTGACAACTTCATCCCCGTTTTCTCTTCCCGCGGCGCAGATGTTTTACAGGCGGAGTCGAGCTCGGCGGTAGCCTGCAGCTCACTTTTAAGAGACTCCTCGATGACTGCCAGAGTCTGAGGCGACAGAGGAACAAGTTTAACAAGCACTTAAAGATCCTCCTGCCTCCAGGCCTCACCGGCGTGATGACGCTTCGTTTAGAGACGTGACGCTCTAACAGGGTAGAGAGAAGAGTTAACTTAGGACTCGAGTCAACTTTAGGAGAAAACGTAGTCACCATTCTTGGTCAAACAAATCTACAAGACAGTTAAACTAGTTATTTATCTGTTTCTTTGACTAGAGAACTGAAGTTTGAGCCTTTCTTGTGTCTAGATACAGCAGATACTTCATCATTGTAGTTGATAATGAGATAATGAGTTAATAATAAGAGCAGCAAGTGTTCTCCACCAGTCCTTCCACGTCCTGCACCTGTTCCAGTTTGTGTCTGTTTTCTTCACTTTGTTAGACGGCTCCCTCTGACTGTCTGAGGAAATAAAAAGTGGTCGACTTGAAAACAAAAACCTCATCATTGTGTGCGGCGCGGCTCAGGCCCTGAAACCTGCTGAGGACCTCCGGAGGGTTGGTGCCACACTCAGAGGAAAGGGCGGGCCGTCACCTTCATAGAACAGCCATTAATCAGCCCATTAGCTATTAACCATTAGGAGATTGATTCTCGCTCGGCTGGGAAGATTCTTACATAACCCTCCTAATGACAGCCTGCGAGATTAAACAACGAACATTTGCATTGTATGTACGGCACATTCAGAGCCGGAGAGGGGGATCAGGAAAGGTCACGGCGTCTAATTATGAATGGTTAATTTGAAGCCCCATAGATTGGAAAAGGGCTCCTCTGGTTTACCAAAACTTGTGGAGGCAATAAATCACCCTAACGAGTGCGGGCTGATGTCTGCAAACACATTAGTCATTATTAGACGGTGAAATCCGGGACATGATGGGGCTCAGACAGCATCGACGCCGGGGTCATTTCAGTGGACCTCCATTTAGCAAAGAGCCGGATCGTCGCTGCCCTCCATCTGTTTCTGCTGCTGGGAGGCATTTCTTTATGCATCCGTGTTAATCAGGATGGAGTCGCAAACGCTAAGACTCAAGACGGAGCGAGACGGAGCGAGACGGAGTGAGACGGACACGAAGCAATTTAAGAAAAGAGAGATTTTGGTTCATGAACGAGCGACAATGAAAATCCAGAGTATTCTCTGTCCGTACAAGACTGGAGACATCAGCTTTTTTAGACTTTTTTAGAGACTTCATTTACATAATTCAAGACCAAACTGATGGTAGTTTTGCTGCTAATATACCTGAAACTGTCTTTACTGGACGACTTTAGATTTTAGTTTGAAGACAGGTTTAATTCCTGAGTGTGAAAACAGTCTGCAGCAGGAGAGCGGAGGTCCCGGACAGTAAATGGTGGTGTGTGTGTTAGAGCGGCACCATTTTGACCAGAAATAAAATCCCGATAAAATTTTGAATTTTTTATTCATTGACAACTTCCTTAAACCTCACTTTAAAAAAAAGTTTTTCTATCATCTCTCAAAGCCAAACCACTGAAAACAATGTAGTGCATATACCAAGACAGTAAGTGGCGCTGAAGAAGAGTACAGAGCATGAGTATAAAGGTTGTTTTGGCCGTTGATGGTAGTGAGACCTCCAGGTGAGTCCATCGACTGGGTGTCGCAGCTCAAGGAAGAACATTTATGATCATTTCTTCATGGAAATACAATCAGACCGAGACGCTAAGACAGAAGAACTACCGCGTCTGTAAAATGATTAATATGGTGATTATTACTTCAAGGAAATGATAAAGAAATGATCATAAATGTTCCTCCTTGAGCTGCGTCACCCCGCTGTAGTCCGTAATGGACTGGCCTGAGGTCTCACTACAAACAAGCGGCTGCTGGAAGAGAGTAGGTGAGTTGTGTTTAGTCTCTTTGCTAAAGAAATGAGTCAAAGTTAAAAAGATGTTTGGTGTCTAGTACTATGTCTGTGACCCTATATGTCCTGTTGATGAAGTTAGGTGCTGTTCTGAGCATTATTTGTGGCTATAGAGATTCCGGTATAAATCTGCTATCCTGCGGTCGTTACTAAAGTTGGTTTAACTAGAGAAGCAAGCGGTCGGCAACATTCATCTCTGGAGGGGACGTAAACTTAATTTTTTTTTTTAAACCACCGCTCTGGTCAATAATCGATCCGTTGTGTCTGAAGAAATCGTCTTGGAGTGAAATTCGGCACATCTTCTAAGAAGAAGTCATGTGAGCCGGATCACTTTAGGTGGACTGGATCCTCAAAGACAGCTTTGTGGACTAACAGCAGACTGTTTGACGGACAGCTCCCCCCTCTCCTGATTACTCTTCTTCTACGATTTGCTCGTCTCTACTTTAATAACGTCTCTTTCATCAAACACTCCGGTTCGGGCGGGCTCGTCCAGGAAACCGGGGAGGGTCGGGAGGCGAAAGGCCGTCGATGAGTCTTATTAAAAAGTCAACCTCAGGAGAGAGAGAGAGAGGGACGAGGGCCGGACTCCAAGACCTGCTCACTTCAGGTTTGTTGGCTTTGGCCGGTCCTGCTGCCTTCAATATCTGGGCTGTCTGTTGGGATCAGGAGCGCCGGCCTGAGAGGAGGCTGCTGCCAAAATCATCAAAAGAGAAAATATGAGCTGAAAGGAGAGACGCCACAAAAGACAGAAGGACCTCCTGTCTCCTCTGATATCCAGTTAGTGTCGGTGTCAGAGAGGGTTCCTCAGTGACAGGGAACCATCTGTAAGAACCACCTCCACCTGAAACCCTGAACAGGGACATCAGTGACCTGAGAAACATGGAGGGAGCAGAAGTTAAAGCGTGGATGATCAGGAGAGTGTTTATGGTCGATTACTGAACGAATACCGATCTTATCATGAAGATGATGTAAACACCGGCGATCAAAGTCTGGGAGCCTCCTCTAGAAATCATGAATTATTGATGAGTCCAGATTAGAGTTCATGAAGTAATTCTGGCAAAAATAAAAATCACAATTATTTAAAGTGATGACCTGTGATCTAACGTCTGCATCACAGATGCAACTTAAAAAACCAGGCGACGTGATTTTGAAGGTTGGTTCTCTGCAGGTTTACTCATCTTTAGTAATCTATGTTCCACTTCGCTGGTACCTTCAGACATGTTGACACGTGCTCCGTCAATAAGATCGACTCGTATCTTTAGCGGAAGAATAAGAGTAAGAAGAACTTTATTGATCCCCAAAGGGAAATTCAGTTGTCTGTTGTCCCACTTCACGTCTCTAAAAGTTATCTACTATTTACACAAGAGTTATAAAGGCTGATGTCTGTTGGTCCAAAAGATCTTCTGAATCTTTCTGTCCTGCAGTGAAGAGAGAGGAGCCGTCCACCACCATCGGCCCTTTGGTCCATCAAGGTGTTGTGTAGTGGGTGATCCATGTTCTTTAGAATAGTCTCCACCTTCCTCAGTGTAGATCTCTCCACCAAATCCTCCACTGAGTCCAGCTTGAGTCCTACCACAGAGCCAGCCTTTTTCACCAGTTTGTTCTCCATCTTTGTGTTTGATGTTTCCTCCCCAGCAGACTGCAGCGTAGAACAGAACACTGTAGATCTACACCACAGACTGATAAAACATCTGCAGCATCTAACTACAGATGTCTATTGATCGGAGTCTTCTCAGGCAGAAGAGGCGGCTCTGCCCCTTTCTGTAGATGAAGTTGGGGCAGAGCCGCATAGAGACGCTCCTACGAAAGAAGATTAGGACCACAAGAAGAGGAAGAAATAACTACAGGAGGGAGATATTTTTAGTTTCTATTTCGAGATTAAAGTCGAAATTCAAAAAAGTCGAAATTTCAACTTTATTCACAACATTTCGACATTTTGTAATCTTGAAATTTGACTTAAATCTCAAAATTTCAAATTTTAATCTCAAAATTTCGACTTTAATCTCCTTCCTGTAATCATTTATTTTCTCTTCATGTGGCCCTAATCCTCGTTCGTTCGCTCCTGCTTCTTGTCTGCGATTCTGCGTTGATTCAAATGTTTTCGCTTCACACGACTCTATCAGAACGTGTCCGACACGGATCCTGCAGGTTTTGGGTCTGAGACCTTTGGCTTCACTTTTGTGATAATGAACAATGCCCGGTATCTCTGCAGCCTTTCTGTCCTTGTCCTCATTCTGTCCCTCAGCCATAGTTCAGTATCGATGATGATGATGTTTTTATACTTAAATCTCAATTTGCATTTTAATCACAAATCTGTGAAGGCTTCATCTCTCCTCCACGGTTATTTAATCTTGATACCAAATGTTTCCTCCTGGATTTGTAGGTTTTGGTGGATGACTTTGTCAGATCTCCGCTCAGTCTTCAAAAGTCACACAACTATACAGGCAAAAAAAAAAAACAATCAGAGCCGCCGTCTCCTCTGTCAGGTGGAATCTCTGGGACGTTGAATTAAATGAACATCTCTGCCGGGATGTTCTCCTATAAAATCGTCAAACTCTTCAAATCAACATCACTTTCCAAGAACGCACTCAGACTTGATGCATTAGCGGACGGGGAGCGCTCTGTCGCCGTTACAGGCGCTCTGTTGGAGTTCCTCCAAACCCTTTTTCACCTGTCGTTGTTTGAGTGGAACAGAGAGGTAAATAAATGACTTCATCTCCATCGATCACATCCAGAGTTTAGAGAAATCATCCGGGAGGAAGGTTCAGACGAGCGCTGAGGTTCGACTGAACCGGTCTGTGTTCCAGCAGACAGACTGATTAGAAAGATAAACGCTGCTGACTCACGTCTCCGCGGCGGAAACAAGCGTTTAAACATCACATTTGGGCGTCTCGTCTGTTATGAGTACACAAGGTGGGTGTCGTTCTGCTTCAGACCAGATGCTGTTTAATCAAAACTCCTCCGATCAAGATGGTGCTCAGAGCCCATTTTATAACACGCTTTTATTTTGAAAAGAAACTTGATCTTAAATGATGGAAATGAATGGAAACAGTTACAGACGATAAAAGTTCAAAGTAGAAGAGAGGTCTGTTGGGACTCCAGATCTCTCGAACAAACCTGTCTAATCTCATGTTTTTGAACGTCTTCTAAACACTGCTGTCTCTGTTTCCACCTCTGCAGAGCACCTAAAGGCGGCGCTAGAGGAGTACATGAAGCGGCTTCCCAAAGTGAAGATCATGAGGAACAAGAAGAGGGAGGGTCTGATCAGGACTCGCCTCCTCGGAGCTTCAGCCGCTGTAGGAGAGGTCATCACGTTCCTGGACTCTCACTGCGAGGCCAACGTCAACTGGCTGCCGCCGCTGCTGGGTGAGAGACAAACTCAAAAGACACAGAAAATGAGAACCAATCAGCATCAAGATTTTCTGACTTTACTAGAATCTATAACTGAACTGAAAAAAAGGGAAAAACAGTGAAAAAGTTCTGACAGAGCATCGGTGTCTTTAGTTTTGCACTCTGCTTCATAATGTAATCATTTCTAACACTTCCTGTGAAACACCGCTGAGTTTAAAGAGTTAAAAATCTATAAAAAATAAAACTGTCTAACAAAGAAAACATCTTCCTTCAGCTGAGGAGCTCCAGGCCTCCACAGTCTGTGTAGATGAGTCCAGGCGTTCCTCCTCATCCATCCTCTATTCACTGACTCTGTCTCCTCCTCTCAGACCGGATCGCCCAGAACAGGAAGACCATCGTGTGTCCGATGATCGATGTGATCGACCACGACAACTTCGCCTACGAGACGCAGGCAGGAGACGCCATGAGAGGAGCCTTCGACTGGGAGATGTACTACAAACGGATCCCCATCCCCACAGAGCTGCAGAAGGACGACCCCAGCGAGCCCTTCGAGTGAGTGCGCTTCTTTTTCTCACTTTTGACATTCGGAGGATCTTATTGTGCCGCGAGGGCGTACGAGTGAGCGCGGTCTGAGTCAAAGCTCGTCAACTCTGTGGGGGTTGGCTTCACGCTCTGCTCCATCCTGTCCAGGAGAGTCAAAGAGTTGCTTTTTGAATATTCCTGTTAAAAACACCTGAAATCAGCTGCTGGTGTTTTAAAGAGGAGGATGGGTTGATTTGATAGAAGGGTTGGAATGTGACAGTGGAGTTTGTCATGAACTGACTCCACAGCTGAGCAGGAGGAGCTCTAAAGAGTCTGTGTGGTGCAGCAGCTCTGCAGCAGTGTGTGTGTGTGAGAAACTCAGAGTGAAGCAGAGAGGCAGAGCAAACAGCAGAGAAGGAGAGCTTTGAGGGGGTTTGTGTCTGTGTATCACAAGCACGACGCTCACTGAACTGGACTGTGTGATGGTCTGAATACTGGAGGAAAACGGTGCAGGATTCACGGGTCCTTGTGTGGACGCAGACAAGCTTAGAGATAAAGATATTTACGAACCGCAGAGAGTAGGAAGTGAATACAAACCAGTGTGCAGCGTTGAATATTGCACAGAGTAGGGCTGGGCGATATGTCCTTAAATCAATATCACGATATATTGATCAGTTCACCTCAATAACGATAAATGGACGATAACTACTCCACAAGCCATAACCTACCTACACACATCCAAAACCAACTTTGATTTATTTATTTATTTGACACCGAATAAACTGATATGAGCAAAATGATGTTTGATATTGTCAATTTCAGTATCGGTAAATTTTTGGTTTATCGCCCAGCCCTAACCAAACGCTTCCCTCACTGATATCTTCCATTAATTTTGCATGTCTTAAAATCTGATGCATCACAAAAGTAACCAAGGAGGTTATCACGGCAGAAAGAAAACGCTCAAATAAAGAAGGCTAGTTAACTGACTGTAAAGTCCACTCGCTTCGTGAGACCGACAGCTTCCCCATTATAAACTCTATTTCAGGGAAAATCTGTGATCGTTTATCAAATTTAGTGAAAAAGTGACACCGAATATATTGATATGGACAAAATGACATCAGTTATCATCGTAAATTTTGGTATCGGTAAATTTTCGTTTTATCGCCCAGCTCTATTGCAACTTATTTACGTTTCTGCTGCTATAGGAAACGTCACATGTGGCGTAAATTACTTCAAGATGCACTTTGCGACCGTTGCTGAGCGTTTTCTGGTTTTGATTGGTGGATTAAAATTAAATATATTAGCTGAATTGTAATTTAGGGAAAACAGAAAGCAACAGAGAGCGTAAAAGTTTAAATCACAGACAAAGAAAGACAAAAAGGTCAACAACAAAATTAAAACCTTACATCAGAAAAAAAGAAGTTATATCAGGTTATAAAACAGCTAAATTTATATATTGGTAAATTTTCAGTTTATTGCCCAGCCCTATCGCAATATAATATTTGCAAATACTGCAATTTAGCAAAGGTCCCCGAGTTTAAGACGGCGACCCTCGTCAGTAAAAACGTCGTTGAGATAAATTGAAGCAACACTTAGACAATAAAACTCCTCTGACAGTAAACATGAGAGTATTTCTGTCTGGTTCAGGGTCTACAGTGTATTTACTGAGGTGCAAACAGGAGCGGTACCTCTGACAACAGTGTCCTTGCAGCAGCAGCAGCAGCAGCAGCACAGGTAGGTAACCTTTAAGTAATGAAAGCTGGAATAAATAAACCAAACCCAGAGAAACACTCTGCAGGGCCAAATATCTCTGCATGTGGTGCCAGACACTCCATTTGTAAAGCCCGGGGGATTAGCTGCCCAGCATTTTTCTGTGCGTTGGTGCCAGAGACGATTTGGGCGTCCTGGGAAAATACAGTAGGTATCATCAGGCGGGGCGGCTGTGGCGCAGAGAGATAAGAGGCTAAAGAAGAAGAAATGAGCTGCAGAACAATCACAATCAATCCTCATTTCGTGAATTAGTCTGCTCTTCTCTCCCAATGAAATGACCTTCATCAGTGCAAATCCAATTTGAGTCGCAAAGATTTTCATTTTCATTCTGATTGACATTGCTGCAGCGGAGAATAAGGCACCATGGGAAGGCAAAATCCATATTGGAGGTGTGTGTGTGTGTGAGTATGATTTGATCCCTGTCTCATGCCTCTGTCATCGTCCCTTTTTGTCAATACAGTCACCTCTCCCTCTCCCTCTATCTCATCCCTCCTTCGGGCGTCAGAGTTTCATGAGCTCAGACTCTGTCCTTCCTCAAGGTCAGCAGACTGGAACAGAGAGAATCAACTTGAGCATTTCTAATTTAATCTAGATTATGGGCGGGGATTTTCATGAGACGTTCAGTTGAGGCCTTTTTTTTTTTCTCAGATTGACCGAATTTTGATAAAGAACAGGAACGACATGAATTTAGACGATGTTATCTTCTCCTCGTGGTTAAAAAAAGGTTGCTCATGGGAACAATGTCTAAAGGAGGCGATCTTCTAGAGACCGTTTTTATTGATTATAACCAACCTGACGAGCTGAGGATGGATTTAAACATCCATGTTTTCATCGTAGGGCTGCACGATCTTGGCGAAATCCTGAAAAATGAAATCCAGATTTTTTTTCTCTGAAAAGTCAATTTTCGATTTTTTATTTGGTGACAACTTCACCAAACTTCACTTTAAAAATAAAGTTTTTCTATCATCTCTCAAAACCAAACCACTGAAAACGATGTAGTGTATATGCCAAGCCAGTAAGTGGCGCTGTAACACCGAAGAAGAGTACAGAGTATGTGAATAAAGGTTGTTTTGGCGCCATAAAAGAGTTACTCTGTGTGTCACATGATCGTTTCCAGAGCTGCAGATAGACATCCACACGGAGATGAAATGGTCGTCGTTTACAGATTTATTCACTCTCTGACCCGTTTTCAAAAAGTACCGTTTACAGTCACCTGAAACGCCGTTTCCATGTGGATGAAACGCCGATACGATAAAAAACTTTAGCGTTTCCTCCTGAGTTTGTTTCCATGTGGACCGGTTGATCTTCATCTGAAACTGTGAAGTCGTACCAATTCAACACGACTGACTCGCTCTTGTCCTATTTAACCACGAAATTATCGCCTTCTTTAACAAACGCCATGTTTGTTTACACTGGTGTGTGTGGGAAGGGGGAACCTACGGCAGCCTGTAGGCGCGAGACAAGATAGAGAGGAAAATCGATTTTAGATTTTTAATTTTTTTAACATCGTCACGATCAAATAATCTGATTACGGTTTAAAATCGATGAATCGTGCAGCCCTATTCCATCGTGTTTATTTTTCTGACTTCACTCTAAAAGCTCAAACTGCAGGTTTTCGTGTCTGAACTGTCGACACGGTCTGAACCAGCTCATAAAAGCTGTAAGTTTTCATCCTCCTCAGTCTTTGACTTCTGCGGTGTTGTTTTCTGAGCTGTTGAGGTGAGTTCAGTCGATGCAGGTCAATATTAATTCAGTGGAGCTGCTCAGCGGCTCGAAGCAGGCGTCTGCTGTTATACTGTGCAAATTCAATTTACCTCTGTGTTCCTAAAGTCATTTCTCTCTTTAAAAAAAAAAACACACAGAAATGTGGAATTGAAGAGTTGCAGAAGTCGATAAAGTCGCTCAGTGCTGCAGTTTCTTCACCTTTCTATGAGACGCTCTCAGATGTCGGAGATGTGGCTGCTAAAACCGTCTCCATTCAGACGTCCGCTGAGCTCCTGCTCCTCAGTGAGGGTGAAGAGGTCGTCTGAGGAGTCTGCGAGCCTCTGGAGGATTTAAGATTCACTTTATTTTAACCGCTTTTCTCCATCATGGTTTTAGTCGTTAACAGAGGTTCAGGGTTTGATTTATAGCCGATGATGATGCCGCCTTATTAAGTCATTATATAAGTCTAACAATCAGAGTTTAATTTGTCCTTTTTCAGCTAAACAAAGCAGTTGCTAGGCAACACAGCAGCAGCAGCAGCAGCAGCAGCAGGAGCAGCGATGGTGGTGGTGTGAGTGGTGACTGTGGGTCAGCTCCTCAGTGTTTTAGATTAAGTGTTTTACAGCCACAGGTGGATTCATCAGGTTTTTAACAGCATCTCGCTCTCTGACAGAAAATCCTGTTTTTGAAGAAGTCTGTTTGAACGTTCATGTCCGCACCTGAACACACCTGAGTTCAGCACCAGAGGAGGGTCAAATAAGAGTCCCAGAGCGGCTACAGCTGAGATCAGTGACGCGGTATCACTTCAGACATTTCTGATATTTATTCATGTCCAAACTGTAATGCCCCGTCTTTCTTTAACCTTCAATTACAGCAGATGACTCTCAGAGACTAAATATGAGCCGTTCCCTCGAGACAGAAACAGAGAGTCCCTCCATGACCTCCTCGGTCAAATTTCAACTCATGACAGTGTGGTCTGGATGTCGGATTATTCATGGTTTCCTTGGTGTGTTCCTCTGTTTGCATTATCGTTGTTTTTAGTGACAGAAGATCAGTATGTGGAACACAAGACAGATTTCTCCACAGGAACGATAAATACATCTTAATGTGACCAATCATAGCCGACTTTATATATATTATATCAGATTATATTGTATTCTTTAGTATGACATCAAGGTGTCTGTTAATATTATATCATAGTCTAGCAGGTTACATATCATATTGTATCATGTAGGGGCGGGAGAAAAAATCGGTACGGTATAGTATCGCGATATTTTGTCTGGTGATATATGGTATCGTCTCATTTACCAAGTGAAATCATAGTGAAGGAGCAAGTTAGTACAACACCTGAGGTTTTAAGATATGCTACATGAAAATAAAATACTGTATCAATCAGACAAATGAAGGACAGGCAAATGATGAGTCAGCAAAGCAGCTGAATAAATCGCGTAAATCCCAATAAATGGTATCACAATACTCATTGTCCTGCAAAATGTTTAAAATTGCAATAATGTTGTATCTTGGCCCAAGTATCGTAATAATATCATATCTTGGCTCAAGTATCATAATAATATTTTATTGTGATAATATCGTATCGTAATAATATTCTATCATGGCCCAAGTATCACGATAATATCGTAATGTGGCCCAATTATTGTGATAATATTGTATTGTGAAAATATCATATTGTGGCCCGTGGTATTGTGATAATATTCTATCATGACCCAAGTATGGTTATAATATTGTAATATTAAGTAATATTGAATCGTGGCCCAAGTATCACAATAATATCGTAATATGGCACAATTATCGTGATAATATCATATCTTGGGGCCTCTTGTGATATGTTCAACACATGAATACACAAAAAATCGTATAAATTTTATATACATGAAATAAAGCCCCAAGAAACTGAATATATTCACATGAGACTAAAAATACAAATTTCATGGTCTAATTTCTTTTAATTTAAAAGGTTTTGATTCAACTTCAGGTCTGCTCAGTGGAGAAGGGTCCTGACAGTGGACTGTCTTGTGTTTTTCTCCATTTTCTTGACGTACTCTTCAGATTACAGCCGGCCTCGTGTCACAAATTAAATTTAAAAATTTTTTTATTAAAGTTATGAACCGTTTGTGTCTGAAAATGAAAAATAACAAACTAACTCATGTCAGAAAAGAAGAAAAAAGACTCCAGCTGTCCAAGGAAAAAAAACTAAAGAAGCATTTTTTCTTATTTTCTTTGTGGTAAACTTTTCTGTCTGAACTCGGCTGGATGTTTTGGGTCCTTCTGAGTTGTGTGATCACAGTTGTATCTCCTGAAGCCGGTGTGTTACCTTCCACAGGGAGCTGAAGTGTGTTTGTGTTTCTCCCTGTGGCGAACAAGAGCTAACAATCACCAACCCACAAATCAGAGCCCACACAGTGTCTACACACTCTCTGCTCCGCTCGCACACTCCACTGACCATCCAACCCCCAGCAATTTCTGCAGCCCGTTGTTTATCCTTTGTCTCCTGTTGAAAGTCTGCCCACTGCATTTTATTCAGCGCTACTCCAGAAAGGACGTGTGTGTGTGTGTGTGTGTGTGTGTGTGTGTGTGTGTTTCCATCAGTTTTCCCCCTCAGGCATACACCAGTTACCAGTCATGGACAATAAACTGCTCAGACACACAGTCACCCAGCCAGGCAAATCAAGCCAGCCAGTGTGACAAACATATTTTAAGAGATGGAGGACGATGTTTGTGCCTCCTGTGACTCTGCTCTCTCACGCTTTGACTTTGTCAAACCCAGACTGCAGTTTTCTACAAATATTTAAAAAGTGCAAAAAGAAGAAAATTTAAGGAAAAGCAGACAGAGTTCAGCCTGTTACCTTATTTTCCAAACTAAGAAAAAGCCAAATTTGTGCTGCACTCGTCTGTATTTATCTACACAGCGACTTGGACGTGAACCAATAAGGAGAAAATGAAGCTCCTTCTGTCTTTAAGCTTAGACCTTAAAGAAACAAGTGTTTGTGCAGCTAACTGTGCACAACGGGGAGTGTGTAACGAGGACTAACCCCCAATTTCCACCACGTCCGGAATGACTACGAAAGGTTGTATCCACCGATCGTAGCTGATCGTAACCATTCAAGTCAACGAGTCAATTTCCACCACCTTCTTTCCATTCCGCTGCGGATCGCCGGACTCCTCTGCTGATCACAACAGTTCTATTTTTTCCGGACACAAATTCAGCACAGATTAACCCGTGCTGGAGAGGAAGTTGGGCACAGACACAAAATAAAACATCCGGCTTCTTTTCAAAATAAAACCGGATACGGTGAAAATACGGTGACCTCAGGCCAGTCCATTCAGGACTACAGCGGGGTGTCACAGCTCAAGGAAGAACATTTATGATCATTTCATTAACGTAATAATCACCATATTAATCATTCTTACTGCAGACGTTGTAGTTCTTCTGTCTTAGCGTCTCGGTCTGATTGTATTTTCATGAAGAAATGGAAATGCAAGTTTCCCTTCTTGTCTGTAACTTTTCATCTCTTGTGTCCTCCAGGTCTCCGGTGATGGCAGGCGGACTGTTCGCTGTGGACAGGAAGTGGTTCTGGGAGTTGGGAGGATACGACACAGGTCTGGAGATCTGGGGAGGAGAACAGTACGAGATCTCCTTCAAGGTAAGAACTAATAAACACAACACCAACACGAACAGCTGCGATGTAATTTGGACTCTTTTTTTTTATGTCTTTAAACTCGGCCGTCTCTTGACTCCCGTGTCTTTTTAACCATCGAGGTTTGAAGCGGCGGCGTTGGATGTTTGTGAACATTAACGTGTCCAAGTTTCCTCCGGGGACCCCTCCAGTAAATCATGAGGCACCGTGGCGGCGGCTCGGTTTAATGGAGAAGCATGTTTTGACACTCGGGTGCGCTCTGATGCCGTGTTTGTTTACCCGCAGCTCTCTGGGTCGAGTAAACTCGCTGAGCCGATGAGACGTTCCTCTTTACAGTTTCCACTCTTGTTGTAGTTCTGGAGCCAAACATGCGTGGAGGATTCTCCTCCGCATTAATCATCCTCAGAGCCGCACAACATTAGATGATGTTTTTGTCCGCCACTTCAGCGTGAACCGCTCTATAGTGTGGCGGTAAATGCTTACAACCACTGCGCCTGCATGTAGAGCGCCGCCCCCGCCCCTCCTCGCTCTGCTCAGACAGGACGGCCGGTCACAATAATTGAATTCTGCTTTGAATGAGTAAGGACTTTTGTCGTCGCACTCAATTAAGCACAAAGGCCAGTGCTGCTGGGCCTGATCTGATTGGACATATGCTGCAGTGTGATAGTAAATGTTGTTCCTCAGAGTGGAGTTTCCAGTAGAGCGGCTTTGTTGTTCATGAAAATTGAACATCCAAATCGAATTAGCTGTCAAAATGGTTTTAGCTTCCACTTCTTCTTCGTAGAAACGCCCCGTTTGCTGCTCTTTTTTGGGGCTAATTGATGCTGAAATAATATCGATTCAACATATGCATGATCACGCATGGAGGCGTTTACGTTTCCCATCCAGGAGTAAAAATCTGCGTCTGTGGAGCGGCGTTAATTCTGTTTGAAGTCCTGGATCGTGTGTCTATATTCAGAAATAACCAACAAGTCCGAGAGTCGTGAATTTCTCGAGTAGGCGGCTGCAGAACCAGCGACTATGGCCGGTTCATGATAGGACAGTACGATTAATCGATTTTAAATCATAATTGGATTATTTGATTATGACGATGTTAAAAAATTAAAATCGTCAAATCAATTTTCCTCTCTATCATGTCTCGCTCCCCCTGCCCACACACACTAGTGTAAACAAACATGGCGTTTGAAAAAGAAGGCAAGTTCTTGGTTAGATTTTGTGGTTAAATAGGACAAGAGCGAGTCAGTCGTGTTGAATTGGTACGACTTCACAGTTTCAGATGAAGAGTAAACCACTCCCCGCTGTAAAGTCTGTCTGAAGGCGGTATCAACCCGTCACCATGGAAACGAATTCAGGAGGAAACGCTAAAGTTTTTTGTTGTATCTGTGTTTCATCCACACGGAAACGGTGTTTCAGGTGACTGTAAACGGTACTTTTTGAAAACGGGTCAGAGAGTGAATAAATCTGTAAACGACGACCATTTTATCTCTGTGTGGATGTCTATCTGCATCTCTGGAAATTATCATGTGTGTGTCTGGCTAAAACAACCTTTACACACATGCTCTGTACTCTTCTTCAGCGTTACAGCGCCACTTACAGGCTTGGCACATGCACTACATTGTTTTCAGTGGTTTAGTTTTGAGAGATGATAGAAAAACTTTAGCTGTGTCAAAAATGCCTGTGTAGGCGACCCCTGTTGGCGCCATTTTGAGGGGTGTCAGAAACCTGAGTTATCGATTCCAATGCCCCATATAGGCGACTTAAGAATGTAGTGACCATCCGATGGTCACTCACCGGTGTGGGCATCCCGTCATGAGTTGTGTCACCAGTGGCAATTCAAAGATGGAGATGACGAGAGCAAGAAGAGACCGAACCCGAGCTTTAGTCACCATTTTCAGGGCAAGTTTTTTATCGTCACTTCACTCCAGGTGATCCGTACAGTTTTCAAAAAACAATTGTTTGCTGCGTCATATACTCTTGTGCACAATATGACCCAGCAAATAATATTCGACACAAAAATGTAAGGCCTTTTAAATAGATTATTAATTTATTTTACAAATCCATCTATACAACATCATAAAATTCAAGAGATGTGAAAACAACAGCCGCAAGTTCAGACGCCGGCAGTCTGAGCAGTGACATCACAACGGTTCGCCATGGAGTGTCGGAAACCTCCAGTGTTTGAGCTCACGACATCGTCAGATATATAATGAAACCCCATATGGGGGTTAGCAGGGATCGAGTGATTGATTTCGGACACAGCCGTTTTATTTTTAAAGAGAAGTTTGTTGAAGTTGTCACTGAATAAAAAATCAAAATCTTTTAGACGCATCCAGTTGAAGTTTGTTTATCAAAAGATTTATTTTTCATTTCCTACTTAAAATGATATCCAGTATTTTTGAAGCGAGGTTAAAGGAGTTACACGACTCAAACAAGTTATTTTAGCCACAATAGACGCCGGTTTAGCTCCGCCCCTTTAATGAGAAACTAGGCCTCGTATTTAAGCGAACCTTTAGAGACTCTGACCTGAGCGCTCATCTCCGTTTACGCTCCACTCGACATTTTTACAGCGTTTTACCGTCAGACACGACACGTCCACGCTCTTCCCTCGCGGCGCTCCGATCAGCTGTTCGGTCTGAGGGAGAGACTTTCAATTTAATCTTACGGGGGGCCTGAAGTGGAGCTCTTGATCCCTCCTGCAGAAAGGGGCTCCTGTTATTAAGCCTGAGTGTTTCAGTCGGAGGTGATGGGAGCAGCAGGTCAGACCCTCCCCACAGAGAGACGTGAAGAAGGGGGTGTTCAATCTGTTATTTCCCCTCGGACTCAGTTGGTCTGAGACAGAGTGGAGCAGAAAACAGGAAAAAAAACAGCCGTGATTGGATTGAGACAGAAACCAGCTGAGGATCGGGGAGTGGGGGGGGGTCTGCAGATAACTACAGACTGGATGGTATCAGAGGTCTGCGAGACAAAAAGAGACACTTGTTCATGTCCACCATCAGACATGAGACCCTGAGGAGGACCTGCTCAGGTCCGGCGTGTGTCTAAATCCCAGTTTTAAAATAACTCAGGACTGTCGGTTAGATCCACGTCTTTCAGGTTTAAAAGCAGAGATTGTGGTCGTGACACGGTAGGAGGAGGAGGTTTCAGGAGTTTGGACAGAGGTGGACAGAGAGGTCAAACCTCCAGAATCAGAGTTCATCTAAAAGCTGAAACAGGTTTCTCTATAAATACGGACGAGTTTTGAGGTCGATCTGCTGCACAGATCTTTGATTCTGAAAGACGAGTTCATCTGTAATAAAATCTAGATTTAACAGATCTATACTTTTTCACCACCAGCTGCTGGAGCAGGCTTCTGTGTGTCTTATGTCTGTGTTGTTGTCCAGACAGACACATATAAACTATATAAAAGATGGATTTACTGTCCTGGCAGGCTTATTTTCACCTCCTCATAAAGAGCTGCAGTGTTACCACCTGTCAGTCAAGTCAGCTTTGCCTCTGATTCGTTAATCTCCTAACCTTAATATCTTCAAAACAAAAATTCACTCTCGTTCAGCCTTCAGATATTTAGACCAAAACCTTTCTTTTAGTTTCTGAACCAAGCTTTAAAAGTTTTTATTTATGCTCTGAAAATGAACTTTTTTAAACTGGTGTGTATGTGGTCTTTGGTAGTTCTGCAGTCAGCCTCTAGTGGACATTCTGGGAACTGCAGTTTTTGGCACTCCTGCATCGGCTTCATCTCTCAAGACTTTGAAGTTGCCCCTCGGTGTAGAAAAAGTCTGTATTTGTGTGGAAGTAACTTAAAGAAATTATCAAAAAATAACGACTTTTTATCGGCTAAAACTAAACCGATACTCTGAGCTGAAGTCCAGATTAAAAGGTCTAAAACAAACGTCTGAAAACAACATCTCCTCTCCTCACAGTGACTCTAAATCTGTTTATTCACTTTAGTTTCTCTGACTTTCAGGCGCTCTCTGAACTTTTCAGACGTTTCTCTGTCTCACCTCACCTTTGCTTTGTCGGTTTAATTATCGATATAATTATCAGAAGACCCTAAAATGTGTCTGAATCCAACGGAGGATTTCAGATGACCCAGGATAAGATATTAAAGGTGGAGGTAAAGTAAAAAAAACGATCACCTTAAAGACTCGTGTCGTCCCGTGAATCCCCGACCTCCTGACCTCCGTCTGCGCTCGGCTCTAACCTAAAGGAAGATGTCACCTTAAATCCGTCTGCGGGATTGAAATCCTCCCACCCTGAAGACTTGAAAGGTGGCGCTGCCTCCCATAAGCAGCAGAACAAATCCAATTGGAGTCTTTGTCATCCAGCTAAGCTTGATTGACTCTCCTCTTTCTCTCTTTGAAGTCATTCGCTCTCTCTGGTGTCTGCAGACGGGAAGAAACACAGACTCACATTAACCTCTTTTTCTCTCTGAAAGCTTTTACTCAAACTCCAAACAACATTTCTCTTTTTCTGACCGACTCTTTTCCTCGAATTAAAGTAAAGACTCGGTTATAATTGAAAAATGATTCACGTCAGTCATCCTCGTTTTTCTTCAGTCTCCTCTTTGACCTCGTCGGCTCAGTCACACCTCGGTAACAGCGGAGTAACAGCTTCGACAGGAAGTGACCCCCTCCTCCCTTCTCTCTCTCTCTCTCTCTCTCTCTCTCTCTCTCTCTCTCTCTCTGCAGGTGTGGATGTGCGGTGGTCGGATGGAGGACATCCCTTGCTCCAGGGTAGGACACATCTACAGGAAGTACGTCCCCTACAAAGTTCCTGGTGGGGTCAGTTTGGCCAGGGTGAGTCTCACATGGTCTTTACAGCATACATGTTCTTTTTAAAGGGATATTCCACTATTTTTTAAACGAGTTAGGGGCTCAACTCAACTGAGATCCTCCAACCAGAGCACTCATCTCAGTTTGTTTTTAGACTCCAACATCTGGTCACAGAAAACATATTTTTCATCTTAATCTTGACTAAAACTACAGAGGGTTAAATCTTGGTTTTATTTCCTGCATCATGTCAACATTAAAGGATGAATATAGAATTTTGTTTTCATGACAACTCTCTGAACACGTCATCGTCTCTGAAGACAAAATAGGTAACGCCACAGAAAAAAGGGGGCCGCGTTAGAAACGAAACAACCGTAACTTCAGAGATCATTTAGAGAGGGATCTGAGGAGACAGGGCAAAGGTCGTTTTAGGGGCTAATCAGGGTGAAGATATAAGAGACTTTTGACATTTTCATGTTTTATCCAATCAGAAAAGAGCGTTTCACAAAGTCAGGTGATTTTTTTATTTATTTTGAGTTAAATGGAGTTGAGAAAAACCGCTCGCCCCGCTCTGTAACGGTCCAGGTAGGTCATCCAGAGTCATAAACCATGACTTCAGCGGGTTAGCCCCGTCATCATCTTATTTATCCGATCTTCTTTTACCTTTTGAGTCAGGTGGAGTTCTCAGGTCTTCAGGAAGTTCTCTGTTAACATTATTACCTAAAGTTAAAACTAAAATCAAAACGCTGAGACATCTTTTTATTTCTACGGCCTCCGTCTGTGGAACAGCTGACCTGGAGACCTGAGGACTGAAACTGATCTGAATGACTTTAAAACCAAACTCAAAACGTAACTTTTTAGTCTTTCTTTTAACTAAATTTTATATCATTAACTTTAAGTGTTTAAGCATTTATCCCTTTCTGGTTTTAATGACAGGATCGTCTTTTAATGAGCTGTTTCGGTGCCCTTATCTTGAGTTTTAAAATGGCGTTTCCTCAGCGCGCACATTCCTGTTTCCACAGAATCAAGCCTAATGATGTTTCTGTCACATTTAGATCGTGGGAATGAGGGGTCGGGGTAGATTTGGGTTTTCTTTGTTTCTTTTATTCCTTTTTTCTGTGTGAAGCACTTTGTGCTACATGGTCGTGTATGAAAAGTGCAGTATAAATGAAGACTGACTGATCATGAACACAAACAAACAAAGGTTAGCAGATGTGTCCTGATGGATGCTTCGACAGCGTTTTCTTCTCTTTCTTCTCTCTGTCTGTTTCGTTGTTTCGAAGATCGCAGATTAGACGAAGTTCTGCTGCTAAATGATCGTGTCGCTCATGCAGGTGGCTGCTGGACCGTTTCCACTCCGCTGACATTTTAGCCGTGGGGTTCCTGACGCTAATGTAACAGATTGTTTGTGCTTTTGACTTTGAACCACATGTCCCTGGAGAGTTGCCGTAGGCTGTTGCAAAGCGGTTACTGTCACAGTCCCAGTCTGTGCACGTGTGTGTGTGTGTGTGTTCTATCTGTGGCTCCAGTTTGATATCCTCTATATGCTTCTGTTATTGAGCTCAGGCAGGTGAACCTAAAACACTCCGCTGTGAGGAGAGGAGGCGCTGTGTGTGATTTATAAGTTGTGTTTTCAGTTGGATTCGGTGCCGCAGCAGCAGAGCATGCTGGGAAATAGACCAGAAAGCCCCCTTTACGTGTGGATACCTTTAGTCCAGACAGCATGGAGGGAGATGTAGCTACTGAACTCCACTTTACCTGGAGAGGCTGAGTTTGGCTGCAGGCAACGAGAGGAGCTACAAAGAGTGGCTCTGTGTGTGTGTGTGTGTGTGTGTGTGTGTGTGTGTGTGTGTGTGTGTGTGTGTGTGTGTGTGTGCGTGTGTGGCTGCAGGCGTTTTTCCTCCACATCTGTGCCTCCAAAGACCAGAGGATTTGTATTTATTCTATTTCTGGAAGGCCTACCGGGCCGCTCCTCCGCTCGGTCTCAGCGTCCGGTCCTCCTCGGCTGCTTCCATCTGTATTCTCAGACATGCAGCCGGACCTCAGAGGCTGACAGGCTCAGTGTTTTTATTCCTTTACACCTCAGAGGCTGCTGATAGATGGATTTCCCATCGCTCTGCTGTAAATCTTTCATGTTTGCTATGGTCTGAACATAAAGAGGCGGCTGAAGATGCTGTCTGCACTGCGGCTGCCGCTGCCAACAGTTTCTGTGAGTGGTCTCTCTCTTGTTGTCTTTAGTTTGAAATTTGAAGCTTTCATTAAGAATAAGGAGTCAAATAAAGAGAGGCTTCATATTTGGGTAAATAGTCTGCAGAGTTTTACATCAGGGATTTGACTTTAGTCAGAGTCGGACCCCCCTGATTAGTCGATTTGTGGTTGAAAATTTCAGGGTTTTAGTCGACCAAGAATTTCTTTGGTTGATTACAGCCCAAGAAACTAGTTCCATCAATAAGCTGTTGTGTAATTTTTATATATTTAACGTCGTACATTTCTGTTTATGTCTCTCTCTAAATATTCATCATCTTAGTCTATTTTCACTAATGTTATAAAAGGACGTTTTTGAAGGATGTCCTCTAGCGGCTAATTTCCAACACGTTTAAATCGAAATTAGACAATCCGACTGATCTAAAGTGAAAAATACTCAGGAAACTGTCTACAGGAGTTAAACGATACAGATTTTTATTAATTTACAAGATTAAAAAAAAAAACATTTGGAGCCAAAATTCAGTAACTGGAATTTTACAAATTTGACTTAAACTCTTTTATCAAATGTCAAACTAAAACAGGAGTTAAGTTACTCTTACATGACGTCTGTGTAGGTTTTCATTCATCCAGGTAGGGCTGGGCGATATAGCCTCTAATCAATATCATGATACATTGATCAGTTCACCTCGAAAGGAATGATAATTACTCCACAAGCTGCTCACCCCCTCCCACATTAACTTCGTCTACTTCAGCCGCTCCAACTTTTGAACCGTCCTCCATCTCCTCACCTGTCTTTCCCTCTTTGTTACAGACTGGATGGGGTGGAGTCACGTCTCTGATGTAGGACAGCGTCTTAAAGGGACATGAGACCATAGCCTACCTACACACATCCAAAAACAACTTTGATTTATATACTTGTTTTTTTGACAACAAATATACCAATAATAGCTAAATGATGGCGGTTATTGTCGTAAATTTTGGTATCATTAAATTTTCAGTTTATCGCCCAGCCCTACATCCAGGTCATGGTTATTAAATTCTTCATTAAAATGGAGTCTGGATCTCACTCTGAAGTAGATCTGTGTGTCGTCGGCGTAGGAGTGGAGGTTGAGACTGTATTGACGGATGATCTGTAGATCATGACGAGGAGGGGCCCGAGCACAGAGCCCTGAGGAACGCCAGGATTGACTGTCAGGCTAAAGTGAAATCAGTTCAGAAATGAAGCGAACCGCGTCTGCTCACTGATTCAGTTTGATCCTGTAAACGGCTCCATGTGTCACAGCGAACACGTCAAAGAGGAATAACGAGGACAGACACAATCAGAAGCTTTTGGTCTTTCATGAAGCCCCTCTGTATCTTCAGCACATAATTGAGTTGACGAGGGACCCGTTGCTCCTGTTTTTCATCTCTGGCCCTCTGGGACACATTGACTACATCATAGAGGTCCTGTGTGACAACAAGCCGCCTTTCAGCTCAGCCGCTTTGATCAGTTTGTCATGTCGGATCAGTCGAAACATCAAGGATGGAAAGATGTACGATTATGATCGCTCGGTCTGCGTTCAAACGGAGACATGATATCCAGGAGCAGAAAGATCCGCCAACAGTCGACTTTTATTTTTTAGACTTTTTACTATCGGAGAAAAGAGTCATCAGACATCAGAGTTCATCAGGTTTTACTCTAAATCACAACATTTAAATCTTTATTTCCACTGTCAGTGATTTTCTGTGTTTGTCTCTGATTTCAGAACCTGAAGCGGGTCGCAGAGGTGTGGATGGACGAGTACGCCGAATACATCTACCAACGTCGACCGGAGTACCGCCACCTGTCGGCAGGAGACATGACTGTTCAGAAGGAGCTGAGGAACAACCTCAACTGTAAGAACTTCAAGTGGTTCATGTCCAAGGTGGCCTGGGATCTGCCCAAACACTACCCACCTGTGGAGCCTCCTGCTGCAGCCTGGGGAGAGGTACGAGTACGAGCGTTCATGGAGAGGGAGAGGAAGTGGTTTTATTTATTTGACTTTTAAAGAGTGAAGAGGGCCTCAGTTTACAGATGATTAAATACATAGAGGGCACTTTGTTTACAGTTTATATACATTAAAGCAACCAGGAGGGTACTTAAGTTACATTTACTCACTAAACTAGCAACCAAAGAGCATTTAGTTCATATTTTATCTACAGAAAAAGCACCGAGAAGGTAGTTTGTTTACACTGTAAGGGCGCCCAGAGGGTACTTTTTTATGAATGAACAACCAGCAGGTACTTTGTTTACATTTTATTTACTAAAAGTGTATTTAAAGGGACCTTTGTTTACATTTTTACCTATTCAAAAGCAACAAGCAGCACTTTGTTTACATTTGATCAACTGAAAGAGAAACCAGAAGACACTTTGTTTACGGCCTATTTTCTAATATGCAACTAGAGGGACCTTTGTTTACATTTTCATGCAGTTCAAAAACAACCATCAGCCCTTTGTTTACATTTTGATCACTAAAAAGGTAACCGTGGACCAGAGGGCACTTAATTTATATTCCAGTCACTAAAGAGACCATTGTCTGACACTTTGTTTACATTTAATCCACTGAAAGAGAAACCAGAAGGCACCTTGTTTACATCTTACTTTCTAAATAAGCAACTAGAGGGATCTTTGTTTACGTTTTATGTACTTAATAAGTGGAACTCATCTAACATAATTTATTTAAAAAAACAACCTCTGGGGACTTTGTTTACATTTTATTCACTTGAAGAACTACAGAGAGGACTTGGTTTACATTTTATTTATTGATTTGCATTCAAGTCATATGATTTTCTGAATAAGTATGAACGCACTCTTTGTTTACATGACTCACTGAAAAAAGCAACTAGAGAGCACTTAGTGTTTTATTTACATAAAGCAATCAGAAGGCACTTTATTTACATTTGTTCATTTGTTTACTAAATAAGTGACTATTGTGTGTTTTGTTTACATTGTGTTCACGGACTAAAGAGTGAAAGAGAAAACACTTTATTCACTTAATAAATAACTATGAAAATCATAGTTTATGAAAATATCCCAGTTTGTAGAACATGAATCAGCAAAACCCAGATGACCCTGGAGTACGAGCTGCAGTTTAAAGGGACATTTCAGCACTTTCAAAGTGATGAAGTTTGATTTACATTCAAAATGAACAAAATTACATTGAAAATTCACCAAAACTAGTTAAAATCAGCGTTTAGTTTTTGACATTCAAAATGAACAAAATTACATAGAAAAACCATCAAAACTAGTCAAAATCAGGGTTTAATTTTTGACGTTTGAAGTTATTCTCTCCACAGTTTCAGACTTGAACATCTCAGTCCTCATGTTTTCGCTCGTGTTTTTCCCTGTTTGTCCTTCAGATTCGTAACGTGGGCAGCGGCATGTGTATGGAGAGTAAACACTTTGTGTCGGGGAGTCCGATCCGCCTGGAGAGCTGCTCCAAGGGACGGGCAGAGGTCAGCTGGAGCCATGGACAGGTGAGAAGAAACCCTAACCCTGAGGACTTTACAGAGGGGGAGATTTTCACACACACTCACACACATACACACACACACACACACACACACACACAGACACACACTCTCTCTGAACTGCTCCATTATTTTTGCATTGGGCTGCAGGAGTCTGTTTGTTCTGGAAACGTCACGTTGACGATCTTTAAGCCGAGCTCATAACACAGCCTTAATGGATTGGATGTCCTGCTCTGTTTCTGCAGCTGAAATACTGCAACACCGAGCTCTGACACTTTAATTGCTTTAATCTGAAGATGCATTGTAGTTTAATCTGTGTCACAGTTGCGATCTGTTTCCAGTGCCAGCGAGAAATGGATTCGCCGTAAATCACTGGAGGCTCTCTGGCAGCTGTCCTTGTCCGGGCTTTTTGACTCTGCAGAAAACCGGCGAAGGAACTTATTGGAAGCGGCGGTTTTATAGATGTTTGAGTTTTTTATATACTGACAGAGAGCAGAAAAGATCGAAATGGAGTTAAAGGATCTTCCCTGAAAAAGTCTTTGTCTGGATGTCAGCAGATGTTGCTCCTAAACCTGGAGATATTGTTTAAAACTGAGGATGCAGCATCTATGTTTCCAGTTCTTCGTTGAAAGGACAACTGGACTTACTTGGGACGTTTCGCCTTGGGCCAAGTAAGTCCAGTTGTCCTTTCCAAAGAGGTTAGATTTTGGTTCACCAGACTTAAGGACAGTTCACAGACAAGTGATATTAAGCCCATGCAGTGACTCCAACTACAGAGTCCTGACGCTATTTCTTTCGATGTTATTACGTACATAGATGATCAGATCTTCAAATCTTCAAACCGTCAAATCGGGTTCATGATCATTTAACTCAGCCCTGTGTTTCTACAGGTTTTCACTTTCGGCTGGAGAGAGGACATCCGGGTGGGCGACCCCATGCACACGAAGAAGGTCTGCTTTGACGCCATCTCCAACAACAGTCCCGTCACCCTGTACGACTGTCACGGCATGAGGGGGAACCAGCTGTGGCGCTACAGGAAGGTACAACCACGGACCACGAGTTAGACCTCCGAGAGATGAATGTTGTCGACCGCTTGCTTCTCTAGTTTTACCAACTTTAGTAACGACTGCAGGATAGTAATACAGAGAGACACGCGCTCAATCAAAACGCCACTCTATAGCCACAAATAATGCTCAGAACAGCACCTAACTTCATCAACAGGACATATAGGGTCACAGACATAGTACTAGACACCAAACATCTTTTTAACTTTGACTCATTTCTTTAGCAAAGAGACTAAACACAACTCACCTACTCTCTTCCAGCAGACGCTTGTTTGTAGTGAGACCTCAGGCCAGTCCATTACGCACTACAGCGGGGTGCCGCAGCTCAAGGAAGAACATTTATGATCATTTCTTTATCGTTTCCTTGAAGTAATAATCACCATATTAATCATTTTGCACTGCAGACGCGGTAGTTCTTCTGACTTAAATGTTGATGCATCAAAATCAATAGTTTTATCAATTATTGACAAAGTCAGGGCTGTTAGATATTTATCAAAAATATTTCACTTTGCACCTCATTTTTGGAAATATTGAATATTTTGTGTTTTTCCCATTAAAAATTCTCATGACAAAAAACACAAAAACTTAAAAACTAACAAAAACTTATAATAAACTTTATATCTATGGATAGGTCTGAAGTTGTTGACAAGATGTGATGCTTTAAAAGTAAAAAAATATATCAATGTATGATGTTTTTACTGCACTTTTACGAGACGGACCGTTTGTGTACACGAGGATAACAAGTGTCAGTACATTTTTACGGGATGCACAAGAGTTAAAGTAATGTTTCAAAAAGACGAGAGCGATTATCCAAAGTTGTTGACCAGGTCTATAAATTTACTGTTCAGCTCTTTTTAGACTGATTGAAACCGGTTTTTGTCATTTTAGGTGCTTTTTATTCAAATTAGGAAAGTTTGGAGGGTTTTAAGTGTCGAATCTCAGAACACGACGGTAGTTGACCTTAAAAAGGTTGTGGGTTCGAGTTCACAAAGTCACGTCTGGTCCTTTAATTCTGGAGGTTTTTGAAACTCATGAAGTTAAAAGTTCTTCCTGTCTCTCTGCTCCTCCAGGATAAGAGTCTCTTTCACCCCGTCAGTCAAAGCTGCATCGACTGCAACCCGACCGAGAAGCGGATCTTCATGAACACCTGCAACCCGTCCTCCCCGACCCAGCAGTGGCTGTTTGAGAAAACCAACGCCACCGTCCTGAAGCGCTTCAACCGGGACCGCGACTGAGGCCCTGCAGCGTCCACAAAGAGACTCCTGATGCACGTGGACGTGGATCTGCTGCTGCTGCTGCTGTTTTTAGATTGACTCTGGGTCCCTGTCTACCTGCCGCTGAGGTGACAGCTGTTTCTCTTTGGGGGGGCTCAGAGCGAGGCACCATGGGACACCGCAGGGGACGGCGGTTAAACGCATCAGTTAGAGGGAAGTTGAGCTCTGATTGATGGGTTTGGGTTGAAAGGTGACTCGGCGAGCGAGCTGGAGTTGTTTGGTCGTGGCGTCGCCGTGATCCTGATTGGTTCTCTGACATTCCTCTCTTCTCTTTACTCGTTTATTTGGCCTATTTCGACTTTTCTCTGCCTTTATTTATTGCCTTTCTCTCCCTCCACTGTCCGGCCTTTATCCTCCTGCTCCTCCTGCTCCTCCTCTTCGCCCCCTCCCCCGTCTCTGCCTGCATGTCTGTCTCTATCTGCCTGCATGACTGCATCTTTGCCCACCTTCTCCATCCTCCCTCTCAAATCCCCTTATGTCTCTCCAGCTCTGACAACCTCCCTTGGGGAGGGGAGTGGAGGGGGGGGGCTGCTGCTGCTGCTGAGCCAAAGTCATGCTGACACCTGAGTAAAGCCAGGCAGAACCACTCTGAAAATCACCTGCTGAATTGATTCTCCTCATCCAGCCTCTGTTCCCTCTTGTTTTCTCCCAGGTACCGGCCTGGAGTAGACCAAGAAAAGACCCTCGCTCCTTTTTTCCCTCTCCTCCGTGCTTCTGTGTCGCATTTATCCAGGAGTTGCCTGTCCAGTTTGTCACTGTGCCACATTTTTCCTTTTACCCTCCGAGGCCTCCGTACGACGGTGTATTAGGGCCGCATCAAGAGAGAAAAAATGAAGACTTCGTCATTACTTATGAGAATAAAGTCGTAATAAAGTAATTACTTACAAAAATAAAGTTGTAAGACTTCGTTATTACTTACGAGAATAAAGTCGTAGTTAATATTCTAACCTGTTGTTCGTTGTTGAAATGAGCGCTGTGGAGCGTTTAGATGAATTGATCTTCAGTAGTTCAGTTTCACAAACAAAGAGATACTAAATCCTTTGGTGTTTCAGCGTCACATCGTCAGAAATATCAGGACGTATGTGAGAAATGCCTCGTTTCCGCAGAAAGAACCAGGCGGACTTGTAGGGAGTCGCTGTTTTTGAGGAGGGGGAAATGTCTGTAAATGTCTGTGAAGAGGTTCAATCCCTCAATGCAGTAAATAATGATTTTATTACGACTTTACTCTCGTTAGTAATGACTTTTTTTTTTCCTAATGTGGCCCTAAAACTGAGTCGTACCTCCGATCACCAAACTTTATAAATGTATGCAGGCGATCTCTTACTGGCCAAGGGCTCACATTTTTCATGAGTGTGTGCCGAAGCTGCTGCCAAACCTCAAAAGCCCCGTTTCCACCGAAAGAACCCGGGACCAAAAGGTTCCTGTAGCTCATTGTTGTCTGAGGGTGCTCTCACACGACTGTTAACACGACTGTTGTTCTCAAACATGCAATCCAATCAAACCCTGGAGCCGATTTATTTACACTGAGAACTTCACCAACACGAGCAGTCGGTGAGGTAGTTAGCATGAAAACAATCATTGATGGACCAAAAGTAGCAGGAACTTCTAGAACCAGGAACATCTTTTTGAGGATCTAAATGGTTCCTGTAGCCTGTTGTTGTCTGCGCTTCCAAGTCCAGGACAGTTATTCGATAAATGAAGTCCCTCTTATCAGTCTCCAAACAAGTCTTTATAAGGGCCCGAGTGTAAATGAAGCACCTTTTTTTTTTTTTAAATGTAAACAAGACTATCTCTTGTAAAGATCAAGTACCGCCAAAACCGCCATGACAACCTAGAACCAAAGGACTAAAGGTGGACCCGGTCCCTGCTATCATAACACCATCCTGTACTCAGCTGAGGTATGTGTGTAAATGAAGTACCCAAAAGCATGTGAGGTTAAAGGGGTGGATCAGTTAGTGCTGGACTAGAATTAGATCCTGGTTCCTGCTATCATAACACTTCTCTCTGCTCTGCTGGTGTGTGTGTGTAAATTAAGCTCTGCTCTTCAAATGTAAACAAGATCAACCTCCAGAACCATCACAGTACCCAAAAGCAGAGACTTTTTGAAGGGTAGGTAAATTACCCCTGGACTAAAGTTCTGGCTATTTTAACACACAGTCACCCAAAAGGTTCCTGGTTTAATGGATAAGTTCCTGTGGGTGAGGAGAACCACAATCAACCACGCTCAAAAGTATCTTCTGGTTCAACAATCAGTTTCAATCCGAGAACTTCTTAAAGCAGAATCAGAACTTCTCTCTTCTAGAACCAGTACTTTATTCAGAGTGTGACACCGTTCTGCAGAGTCGTGAAAGCCCCTCTAGTCCATGTGTCGTGGTCTACCAATCAGAAAAGCTTGGTACTCAAAGTCCTTGTACTCTTAGAAAGTCCCTCTGATAACAGAGTCACACAGGAACTTTTTAGACCCGGTTTTTGAGGTGGAAACCCTTTGAGTTTCTTAACGTGTCCCTTGACCCTGCAGTGGAAACGCCGCTCTGTTAGAGCGCCTCGCTGCTTTCTGTACGCCCCCCACCCCCCACCCCCTCTCCTCCGCTTCCCGCCTCACTCCCTCAATCCGTCGCCGGAACGACCTCATCACAGCCAGCCGAGCGCAGGGTCACGTCACGGCTCGGAGCGCCAGGCAGGGCCGAAAGCTGACGCCTGCTTTCCTGCCCGCCTGGCTGGATGACTGGCTCTGTGAGTGGCAGTCCAGCTGATTCACAGCAGGGCCGCCTGATTGGCCGGCTGCCGAGCTGACACATCACTTTAGCGTACGGCGGGGGCAGGAGGAGAGACGGACGGGGGAATTAGTGTGGATGTAGCTCTTCAGGTTGGAGACAAACGCGAGGGGGAGGGGCTTCTAATGCATTAAGCACTTGTGTAACGACGATAAACTTGAATGAAATCTTAGTGCCTTGTTTGCAGAGGACGAGATGTGTGTGTGCGCGTGAGTGTGTGTGTGTCTGTGTGCGAGTCTATGATGTCTACGTCGGCGTCCACGCTCTGTCTCATGAGAAGTGAGGAAGAGCTGAACCTCATTGAAACTTGAATCGACCTCCACGCTGCTGCAGGACATCGAACGCACCACATGTTCCTCATCCAGCTTTCGGAGTGAACACACGTGTCTCTGCCGGCTGTGAATAAAGCGAAACAGATTTTTGTTTGTTTGTTTTTATTTTATTCCTCCATGTTTTCTTCCTGCCTTGAAACATGAACTTTGGGAAAAACCTCTTTTTTCTGTTTTTTTTCTGTCGACTTTCCCCGGCCGTGAAATCCAAAGTACTCTCATGGGAATTCGTGTTTCTTCAGCGTCGTTTCCTTTTTGTTCGTGTTCTGGTGTTTTTGAGTTCGTGGTGAAGATGATGGTGATTTTGGTGGAGATGATGATGTTCTGGGATCCTTCGGTTTATCAGCTTCACCCGTTCTCCCTTTATTTTTGATTGTCTGAATCCGAGTGTGTACAGTGTTTTTAATTTCACCTTTATTCCCGTTTATCAAACCACGTTAGATTTTAAAGGGTTATTCTGTTATTTAATACTACATACTTTGCAACTCTGTCAGAAGTCCCCAAACCTTTTGTTTTCTGTCTTTTAATTTACTCATCATGAAGACTTAAATACTTGTAAACATAATACCTGTTTTTTTATTCTCCCGAAGTAACCAAACTGAAGTCAAGTCCTTTAAAAACCACAGAAGCATTAAAGAGTGTAACGTGGTCTCACTTCAAGTATGCAACTTCCCGCTCTTAAACTCACATTTGCACGTGGATATTAAACTTTTTTATTCATTTATTTAGTTTATTTTTCCTGTTTATAACAAAAATCATTGAAAGTCCTCCTCCACTTCAGAGTCAGTTTACGTTGGTGAGACGTCCCTTTGACAGCCGAGAAGATCTCAAGAATTCTGACTCTCGTTTTAGTCGATAGATAAGATGGAAAAGGAAGGAAGGAAACACTCGACCCGAGGATCTTTTAAAACGACAAAGAGGTTAAACCAAAGTCACAGGACGGAGGATCTCTGCTGCAGACCTCTGACCCCCAATTTCCACCACATCCGGAACGGCAGCGATTTTCGCCATCCGCCAATTCCTACCCGATCCATTTGTGAGGCGAAATTTGTGGCGGATTACTGTTCACGTGCAATCGCGCGATAACGAGTTGTCTCTATAAAGACAGACACATAGACATGTAAGCAGTAGATTGTGTCCTTCCAGAGGAGGAAATCTACTTCTAGACTTCTAGAATCAGCATCTCCTCATCCATGGTGTCATCGGGGTGAAATGACGTCTAAAAACCTTTCAGTGTTTTATTTTGAAAAGAAGCAGGATGTTTTATTTTGTGTCTGTGCCCGACTTCCTTTCCAGCACGGGTTAATCTGTGCTGAATTTATCCGCCATGCTCCGGCGTCCAGAAAAAATAGAACTCTTGCGATCAGCTGAGGAGTCTGGCGATCCGCAGAGGAACGGAAAGAAGTCGGTGGACATTGACACGTTAACTTGAATGGTTACGATCAGCTACGATCGGAGGATACGACCTTTTCGTAGACGTTTCGGATGTGGTGGAAATTGGGGGCGAGTCTCTGCTGCAGACCTGACTCCTGCCTTAGACCTCCGAGTCTCTTGTGTAGACCTCTTAAGTCTCGTCCCCAGACCGGGTCCCTCATGAGGACCTTTCTCCGGCCGTCATCGTTCTGTTTCCTTTCTCTCTTTTTCAGAACAATCACTGTTTTTATAAACTGTCCTTTCTGGATCATGTTTGCACTCTGAGCTGATCAATCATGTGACTTTTATTTTGAAGGTCTGCTAACACTGGTCTGGTTAATAAGCTGCTTATAAACATGAATCAACACTTGTTATCTACGTTTTATAAGCAGCTTATTAACCACTAATTAATGCTTATAACAAGAGCCTACTTTAACCATGCAAT